GTACGTTTCTTTCGTAATAGATCTTCATCAAATATTCCTCTGTTCCTCTGTGATAAGGTTGCAAATAAGTTAAGACTAAATCGTTTCCGTGGACCTTCTTCAACATATCTGTGCATATAAACGCCAATGTACAGGAAGGAGTAGTTAAAAGAGGTTGAACCTGTTGTGTGCTTCGGCATGTGGATGTGGACATGAAACATGTTCCCGTGATCTTGACAATGTCGATATTGACTAACATGTCAACTGGGAATACACTATGACTATTAAGAACAATAAATACGAATTGATATGAAGGTAATGTTGCTTGTGTTATGATGACATGACTGTGTGTACATTTGGTGGTAAGATACCATAACGCCTTTCTGATGAGTGTGTCATATCTTTTACAATGTATCAATGATTGCCAGTGTAAAATAAAGAAAGAAAGCCAAAGTCGTAATATTTCACATTGTAAACAGAAAAATGGAACACCATAATGTCAATTGTAAACCTTCCATTAGGATGTCATACTATTATCCATCAACTGTAAGGGTTTCACGGCATGTCATTGCAGCTGGAGCGTGAAGTGACACATATATAAACAATATTGACACTTATCAAAACATATCTCCTTCTGACATCAGTTGAATTGTTGTGTTTCATGCATGCAGTGCCAACCAAAGATATGTATGATCTTCAAATGATATAGCTGAATTATAAAACATAATTTTGGTAAAATTACCTTAAATTTGTAAAATTGATAAAGTTTCAAATAAGTTAAGACTAAATGGTTTCCGTGGACCTTCTTCAACTTCATAACTGTGCATGTAAAGTCAATGTACAGGAGGTGTCAAAGAGGTTGAACCTGTTGTGTACTTCGGCATGTGGATGTGGACTTGAAACATGTTCCCATGATCTTGACATTGTTGACATTGGCTACCATGTCAACTAGGAATACACTATGACTATTAGGAACAATAGACACGAATTGATATGAAGGAAATATTGCTTGAGTTATGATGACATGGCTGACTCATCATTCTTTGATGAGCAAAGAAAGACATCTGGAATAATAGAATTTTACATTTAAGAGCTTTCTGTTATGTTGTGTGGTTTTAGAGATAGTCCGACAGTATCATCGACATATTTGGTATCGTTGACTATGCAAAGCATGGAGCTGTTACTGTTGAACAGACATTATATAATAATATTTTGCTGATCTAGATACAAAGTACCAACTTTTGTTTCCTTGTAATGGTTTTTTCATGCATACAGAGCAAACCAAAGGTATATATGATCTTCAAATGATATAGCTGAATTAGAAAAACATAATTTTGGAAACAATTACCTTTGATTTGTAAAGTTCAACTCATATTTTCTCATCAAATGCCCTTTCTATTAAAATTGACCTTTGACCTTACCAAACTATTTTTGCGATGAACATATATGTAATATTATTGTCCACAATTTTCAATCATGTTCTGAGCATTCCAAAACTACTATTTTGATGAAAATCGGTCACTCCAAAACAAAGTTATTAAATTAAACCACCCAGTTATCGGTTAAAATATTGCCATAACTGACATGACATGTTGCACCTTAACAGGGCCTCTGTACGGTAGTCACGCACGGTAGCTGATGACAACCGGCTTTAAATCAAAGCTAAATCATTCCTGATTGTGAAAAATCACATCCCGTTTGGTCGCCAGAACTGCACCACATTTTCACCATTTGGGGGGTCTGGCTTCTAGACCACTGAGTATGTTTGAATATGTGCAGGTCGATGAAACAGTGTGTATTTACTAGGGCTGTGCAATATTACCGGTAAACCGGTATATACAGGTACAGTATCTCACGATACGATTACCGGGATATGGTTCAGATTCTGCAATATATTGTCATCCAGAATTAGCTACCTTTGAATTATCTGCCCTTGATTGCCATAACAACAGAATGTGCTCTAAAAGTACCAAATATATATATATTTCTCTTGGTTTCATGTAACATTTTACAAGTGGAAGTGTCTTTATAAGTGGCTCAAAAGTGCCGAATATTCTACCAAATGCTTTAAGTTTTGTGGATTTGAATGGTTTCATATGTGACGTTTTGGAGGAATTAAGTGGCCTCAAATGGACCAATCCTTTAATTTAAGAAAGGCAAGATTTATGGAGGTCAATTTCTTGTTGTGAATAACAAGACGTTTCGGAGCGTATGCTTACTCCTTCATCGAGTCATGAAGGAGGAAGCATACACTCCAAAACTTTGTGATATTCACAATAAAGGAGGTGACATCCATTAATCTTGCTTTTCTTATGCATTCCACTTCTAAATGCCCTTAAAAGATTTGACCAATCTTTTATTTGGACTTATTAGTAGTATTTCTGGCTCTGAGCGACCATTTTCTTTGTTTTGTAATAGGACATATGTTATCAATTTATCGTAAAGGCCAAAGTCTTATAAATTTTGTTTGAATTTATAATGACATTCTAGTCAAGAATCTTACTAATATATTGGATGTCACATGTGACTTTAAGTTAAGTAGTTCACCTAAATCATGTGGTTTTTTTCATTTTGCAATAGCTCATGTTAACACATGTTTATATTGGAGCTGAATGTGAATCAGTGAGTGAGTGAGTGAGTTTAGCTTTTAGGCCGCACTCAGCAATATTCCAGCTATATGGCGGCGGTCTGTAAATAATCGAGTCTGGACCAGACAATCCAGTGATCAACAGCATGAGCATCGATCTGCGCAATTGGGAACCGATGACATGTGTCAACCAAGTCAGCGAGCCTGACCACCCAATCCCGTTAGTCGCCTCTTACGGCAAGCATAGTTGCCTGTTGTGGCAGAATGTGAATGAATCACTGACATACAGTAACAATAATTACATACTCCTTTGAAGTTCATTCTGTTGAAGAAAACAACGCTGATAATGAAAATCATGTTATACTATCAAATTTATCACTATGTTCACAAAACTTGTACTTCAATTAAACTTTCTACATTAATGCTCTGTATCTTTTCATTTATCTGTAAACCATTGGCATACACCCATACACAATGGGGACACGGAGCCTGAAAGTATGGTGTAACAGCAACTAATAAGACGATGTCACACACAGAGAGCTATTATGAATTAATGATGTACACACTTGCGCATAAACCTTCCAGTCAATATATCACAATATGTATTGCAACATCTCTTACATTATTGCAATATATCGCAATATGAGAATCAGGGCAATATCCAGCCCTAGTATGTACGACCCAAAGTCTGTAAGAAGAAATATGATAGAGTCATAATCATGATAATGAGTCAATGGCAGCCATTTGTGAAACTTCTATATTTAAGCATAATAGTTTTTTTATTATAGATTGTCATTGTTAAATACTGATTAAAGTCTGCCCCAAGCTGTTGCCAGCTGGACATCATAAGCATTGAACTGAAACACTTTTGAGTCAATTAGCTTACATCCATAGCTTCATCAATAGGCAGCCATCTTGTATGAACTGCATTAATCAGAATACTGTAAACTATATTCATACGAACAAGATTACAGCAAACTGACAGATATGATGAACTGGGTTTTTGGCTATTTGTTGGTTCTGGCCATTTGCTGTAAAGCGTATATACTGCATATGCAAAAAACATACCACTAGGGGTGAAACAGTATACCGTGTTATTTTGCCTTCGGTTCGGTATACTGTAATGTAATCCAAACATTTGGTATTTTTGGTTTTCGTACCATCATTTCTATCAAGTCATAAAAATGACAGTAAATAAATGTAAGGTTTGTACCACAATACGTACCGTACCACAGGGGTTGAAATAACCCATTGCCCGATGTCGAGTCCAGTGTTTTTCTGTTTGGCCAGCAAATTAGTATATCACACTGCATGTCCAGTTGACTTTCCAACATTAATTATGTTGTTTATTTAAAAAATCAAAAAGGAAATGGCCGGTATAGTGGAAAGATTATCAGGGCAAGTGATTTTACATGTGCCACTGTACCGGAGTACACTAGCAATTTTAAAGTTATTTCCACCCCTGTACTATGGTAAGAACGTAATGTTTCCCCCCTACAAACCACATTAATAATACCGGTAAGTGTAACTTAGTTGTCCCTTTTAGTTTGTTATCCTAGTAGTTTACTGTATAGGTTCCTGCCCTACGTCAATACTCAACAGTTAGTCTAACACTAAAATAAAACCCCACTAAATGTCCCTGATATACACATATGTATTACTTATTTAATGCCACAGTAGAATGTGAAATAGAGAGAAAAAATTCAAAACATAAACAAAGAGCCCATCAAGGAATCATCGAATGTTATTTCTTGTGGTTAGTGTTTGTTTGTCGTAACGCCACGTTACATGACTGGGTCGTCAATAATGGAACTTGTACCAGTCAGATACTGTCAGGGTGAGTGAGTGAGTGAGTAAGTAAGTTTAATGCCACACTCAGCAATATTCCAGCTATATGCCGCCGGTCTGTGAATAATCGAGTCTGAACCAGAGAATCCAGTGATCAATAGCATGAGCATCGATCTACGCAACTGGGATATGTGTCAACCAAGACAGCGAGCCTGACCGCCCGATCCCGTTCGTCGCCCCTTACAATAAGCATGGGTCACTGATGATCACATTTTACCCAGATCTTTACAGGTTAGGGTAAGATGACACCATCACCTTTAAGAACAATCAGGTTCCTGAGAACCAATTCCAATATAACCATATTTCTGTGTTGTTCATTTATTTGGATTTTGTAAAGAGGGGAAAGACTTCTAACGAACATGTTATGTAGTAGGGGGGGGCTGGATAGTAAACCAGGGCTTAGTTTATCGATTTTCTGACCCGCAGTGGGGGCCTGTGCTGCACTCCTGCCTAAAATTAGTAAAAATGAATACGAGATTGTGCAAAATCTCACAGCAGTCATAATGTTATCTGACATTTCAGAATGGAACTGTTTGTGATATTGTGTAATTGCGGGCAACAATGTATGAATCAATCAATTAATTACCAGTATCAACGGATTGCATTCTGAACTCTGAAGATCTTCTGTAAGTTATAGCTTAGCAACTGGAGATGTGCCCGGAAGTGCTCCCAGAGGTTTGTACTAACGGCAACGTGCCAAAACGGCACTTACAAAACCGGTGAAAGTAATGACTAAAACGGCAAATATCGACTATTAACTTCGCATGCATTACACTAATTAAAAATATGTCAAAAAGAAACACATTTACATTTTCAAAAACTATGTCAAATATTTCTTGACAATTTGAACGAATTTACTGAGGCACCTTTATAGAACGAGAACACTGTTTACAGTGGATGTTACCATTTTGAAACATTTTCAAAATCATATCGATCGATGTTCACGAATATTTAAGTATTTTAGAAGATGTATTGGGGCAAGTGGACCCGTAGTAAGTTATATCAAAAGGTACAGACAACATGTTAAAAAGTCCCGACTGGTACAAGCCACCAAATAAAAAGAAAATTGTGTAATTGGTATATGAGATGTCAACCACCGTCACGTTAGTTATGCAATCGCCCGATCCTCAGCCACACTATATACATACAGAGTCGTGCAAAAAAGTATTCGTTCGGACACTTGACGTAATTTCCATAGACTTACATGTTATTTCAGTGTAGCATAAATAATTCTTCGACTATTTACAGAGCTCCGCAATGGAGCTGGAACATTGCTGAGTGCGGTGTTAAACAACCAGCAAATGCTACCTTTGTGTCACTGTTGAGGGGTGGTCGATTAACAGTGGACGATATGGTGATTATGTTGAAAAATAATTAGCAGCAAGTTCATAAAAACAGTACATCACAGTTAGGCGAATAGTAGGCTATGAACTAGTCTCCCACTAGCCTGTCTCACAGTCCCTGAACCGCATTATTTTCCCTTCCGTCTAGTCCTGCCTGCAATGCTTTTAAAAGCCCTACATCTCCTCAGGATCAGTTCTGAATATCTCATCTCACTTGGGCTCCTTTTCAATTTAAAAGGAAATATTTGTTAGAACTATCAAAATTATATATATTCAGAGTCTAAGCTATAGCCTACCACCCCTCGTGCGTGTGTTATAGTTAGACTAGCTGTTTGTGTTCGCTGTGAATGGCGAGATGCTGTGCGTGCATTCACGTGTGACTATTTGTTGCACATTCTGGTGACTAGCATTATACCGCGGTCACAAGCCAATTTGCAAAGGGCATTAGCGGAATTTTCTAATCTGACTTGTTAACAAACTCGTTGATACTGGAATAATAGCAGTTGATGTCGTTCAGTGTGATTCGCTGAACATAAAACACATCCATATAGTGAAAAATGACCTGAAAACACATGAACGCACATTCCACTCAATATCTAATGATGACTTGGCTAACTGACTGACTGACTGACTGAGTTTGGTTTTACGCAGCTTTTAGCAATATTCCAGCAACATCGAGGCGGGGGACACCAGAAATGGCTGATGACTTGAAATTCGAAAGTTGAGAATATTGTGAAATACAAACATGGTGATGGTAAATTCTTTGTTTAATATGTCGTTCCCTTCGTATCCGATATCAGAACCATAGTGCCGTTTACGAGAGTTAGTTTTGGCACGGTTCCGTTTTAACCTTTTCGTTTCTAAGGGAGGTAACTCTAATTACACAGTAGCAATAAAATTATGATCTTTGTACTTTGCAGCGAACAATAAATACACAGGCAAAATCCAAATACAGAAATGTATTAACTGCCAGCTGGGCAAAACTCAAAGCACTTGTGGAGTTCATTCAGCGATACTCAAAACTGAGTCAATGTCCGGTTTGACAATGCGGGGTGAATTCAACCAGTTGGTGTATTCTGAACAGATGGTCTTTTTGTCGTCATCATCTCTTAATAACAACAGTCTATTCCAGAAACGTGCTATTTTATGTTTCAACTGAAATCCAATATTGTTGAGTGCGGCGTTAAACAACAGACAAGAAATTACCATAAATTAATAATTACTAGATAACGATCTCCTAAACCCAATAACTCTCACAAAAACACTAAATTCATCTTCACAAATGCCCCTTCAAGAATACTGTATGATACAAATGCAGAGGTTGCCGTGGTAACGACTGTTCCGCTTTCATATCGGATATCCATATCATGAGCACATAACTGCAAGTCACCAGGAAGTGTGACCGCATGATTTATTCAGTGAAAACATACAGTTTAAGCAATGTACGATTTAACTGATGAATCAGTAAATAACAATTGCAATGTCACTGCCTGAACAAATGTTAACATTATAATTATATACATAAAAATCCACTCCAGTTTATAACTGATAATGAATTTTTTGACAATAATTGTATTTGAATAATTAATCTTATAATGAGGTCTACATTAACCATAAATTCGAGAAATCCGATTGAAAAAACCCGTGTATGAGGTTATGACGAAACAAATTCAAATAAATAGAATCACGATATACTCTGAAATAATGTTTTCGTTCTTTTGAAATATATCATAAAGAGCATTATATAGATGAATAAACGAATAAACGTTTTCATGGCAGGGTTAAACTATAAAAGCTACCCAGGGATAACGGAAACACATTTGTATGACATTTTATACTCAATGACTTGCCAAGCAGCCCTATATTACCATAACAATGATCGTCCAGATATCCAAATACACGTTGTCGTGAAAACATTGTAGTTTACAACCTGGGCTACGTCATGAATACCTTCACTGTCCCAAGTATTGTCTTCTTGCACATGACGCATTCATTCACCTTAGGTGCACAAACAGAGCACGTGACCAGATGACCACAGAGAAGGAAGAGTTCACCGACAGCCTCGTTCTGGCATACCCTGCACACGCGTCTCATTTTCAGAAGCTTGTTCTCCTCAGCCAACCTCCGAGATGATCGTCTGATAGAAGGATCAGTGCGAGAAGTAGACGATGTTGTGGCTGGTTTTGTATCCGAGGATGTTGGCATTGGAAGAGGGGAAAGTGTGGTTTTCTTCCCTGTTCCTAGTTCTGAAATGGGAACATTGTCTCCAGAAGATGTGTCCTTTCCATCAGCTTGTGTCGATGGAGTAGATACAACCAACAACACAGCAGAAGTGAGGTCGTCTTTTGTTGTCTGACATATTAGGCAAGCTGTTTCAAATGCTCGTCCTTGGCTGGTTACACCAGTAGATGGCGTATCGTGTATGTGGTCTATAGCAATATGCGTGTCTTGGTTTGCACCAGGATCTGGATTCTGTTGGCCCGCGTCATTTGAGGGCTCACCTTCCACTGTCCTAGCAGCAACTCCAAGCTGGTTCAGGTCTGTCTTGTTGATGAACTGACAGTGTTCCGAGTATCTCTGATGTTCCGCCACAGGGTCATGTTCTTCCTCCCAGTCTCTCAGAGTTATCCCACACTGGAAACACGTGACCCGGTCAGCTGACCCGATGTAGAAGAAGCCCGCTGATGCCAGTTCCTCGGGAGTTTTGGGCACATATCTTCTCGGCCAATCAACGAAGGAGTCTAGCCGTGCCTGTAGAGCTTGGTACTTGGGATGTTTTTGAGGCGGAGTCTGTCCCAGCTTCCGGTACAAGGAGACGATGAAGGGGCAGTGAGTCCTCCTGGTGGCATGCTCGTGTAGAGCGTCATCTGTGTCCGTCCAGTTCAGGAGCTTCAGACCACAGAGTTCACGCTCAACCTTGTCTCCGATACCTAGATGGTGTACAGGCAATGACAAAAAATAATAAATAAAAGGATAAAGGCTGGGCAGTATATTTAACAGTACAAGTACTACAAGTAAAATACTTACCAATAACATACCCGTTTAATGCCAGATAAAAGCTCATAAGCTGACGTGTACCACTATATAAGGAGACCCACCAGCAGAGCAATTGTGCTAGCAAAGAAAACGAAACATATAAACCCGACGAACTTGCCATCAGGATGTCCTTACAATATTAATAAACGGAGCTGTTAGAATATTGCTCGACATGAAAGGAAAGTTGAATTTTTTTTTCACTTTTGTCATACATCCCTGTGGAGGTTCTCTGGTGTCACTCTTAATCTTTAAGCACAGATCTAAATATGAAAGAGTTGGGGCTGTCTCACTGTCTCCATGATTCAAGTTCAGGTGGGCAAGTCAGTGGAAGGGAATTGCCTATATGATGGTTAGTGAACGATATTAGATCGTCGATATACATAAAGCTTAAGTTAAACTTGGCCACGTACAATGTGACCCTTTGCTGCAATATATACTATGGGTGCGGACTGAAAATTATTTTCCGCTGTGATTTGCTTTGTTGTTTGCAATGGTACCTGATAACATTGATAAATGCTCACACCAGCGATCATCTGTTTTCTCTGCTTGACAGGCAATCGCAAACACTCGTACCATTACAAAATGGTGAAATTTCCCATCACTTAGCAGAGTCCAGGTATGCATTTAGCGTATATATTTTGGCGTTTTGTTTCTGTGACTTGGTTCTGATTTCCGTGGAGATGCCTGCCTGTCTGGAACATGCCTTCAGCAACTCGTGCTGGGACCCGTTCCTCAAAGCGATCGTAGCGCTAAGATGATCGTAACTCCCATACTTTAACATAGACTTACGACAGTCGTAGCTGTACGATCGCTTTGAGGAACGGGGCCCTGGTCGACAGAGGCGACTATCAGGCTCATTGAGTTGGTTGGTGGACTGTCAACCAACATATATTGGCCGAGAATCGATTAATTACAGCTGGAATACTGTGACGTTAAACACCATACAAACCAACCAACCAACCAACCAACATGTTTCCGTGTTAACGCTTCATGGATCCCTAAGATGTGTGAATCCAATCCTCTGGGTTCCTCTGTTCATCTAGAAGACGTCTCGAAGGCGATACGACTGATATAACTGATAATGAATTTTTGACAATAATTGTATTTGAATAATTAATCCTATAATGAGATCTACATTAACCATAAATTCGAGAAATCCGATTGAAAAAACCCGTGTATGAGGTTATGACGAAACAAATTCAAATAAATAGAATCACGATATACTCTGAAATAATGTTTTCATTCTTTTGGAATATATCATAAAGAGCATTATATAGATGAATAAACGAATAAACGTTTTCATGGCAGGGTTAAACTATAAAAGCTACCCAGGGAAAACGGAAACACATTTGTATGACATTTTATACTCAATGACTTGCCAAGCAGCCCTATATTACCATAACAATGATCGTCCAGATATCCAAATACACGTTATCATGAAAACATTGTAGTTTACAACCTGGGCTACGTCATGAATACCTTCACTGTCCCAAGTATTGTCTTCTTGCACATGACGCATTCATTCACCTTAGGTGCACAAACAGAGCACGTGACCAGATGACCACAGGGAAGGAAGAGTTCACCGACAGCCTCGTTCTGGCATACCCTGCACACGCGTCTCATTTTCAGAAGCTTGTTCTCAGCCAACCTCCGAGATGATCGAGTGATAGAAGGATCGGTGCGAGAAGTAGACGATGTTGTGGCTGGTTTTGTATCCGAGGATGTTGGCATTTGAAGAGGGGAAAGTGTGGTTTTCTTCCCTGTCCCTAGTTCTGAAAAGGGAACATTGTCTCCAGAAGATGTGTCCTTTCCATCAGCTTGTGTCGATGGAGTAGATACAACCAACAACACAGCAGAAGTGAGGTCGTCTTTTGTTGTCTGACATATTAGGCAAGCTGTTTCAAATGCTCGTCCTTGGCTGGTTACACCAGTAGATGGCGTATCGTGTATGTGGTCTATAGCAATATGCGTGTCTTGGTTTGCAACAGGATCTGGATTCTGTTGGCCCGCGTCATTTGAGGGCTCACATTCCACTGTCCTAGCAGCAACTCCAAGCTGGTTCAGGTCTGTCTTGTTGATGAACTGACAGTGTTCCGAGTATCTCTGATGTTCCGCCACAGGGTCATGTTCTTCCTCCCAGTCTCTCAGAGTTATCCCACACTGGAAACACGTGACCCGGTCAGCTGACCCGATGTAGAAGAAGCCCGCTGATGCCAGTTCCTGGGGAGTTTTGGGGACATATCTTCTCGGCCAATCAACGAAGGAATCTAGCCGTGCCTGTAGAGATTGGTACTTGGGATGTTTTGGAGGCGGAGTCCGTCCCAGCTTCCGGTACAAGGAGACGATGAAGGGGCAGTGAGTCCTCCTATTGGCATGTTCGTGTAGGGCGTCATCTGTGTCCGTCCAGTTGAGGAGCTTCAGACCACAGCGTTCACACTCAACCTTGTCTCCGATACCTAGATGGTGTACAGGCAATGACAGAAAATAATAAATGAAAGGATAAAGGCTACAAGTAAAATACTTATCAATAACATACCCGTTTAATGTCAGATAAAAGCTCATAAGCTGACGTGTACCACTATATAAGGAGACCCACCAGCAGAGCAATTGTGCTAGCAAAGAAAACGAAACATATAAACCCGACGAACTTGCCATCAGGATATCCTTACAATATTAATAAACGGAGCTGTTAGAATATTGCTCGACATGAAAGGAAAGTTGAATTTTTTTTCACTTTTGTCATACATCCCTGTGGAGGTTCTCTGGTGTCACTCTTAATCTTTAAGCACAGATCTAAATATGAAAGAGTTGGGCCTGTCTCACTGTCTCCATGATTCAAGTTCAGGTGGGCAAGTCAGTGGAAGGGAATTGCCTATATGATGGTTAGTGAACGATATTAGATCGTCGATATACATAAAGCTTAAGTTAAACTTGGCCACGTACAATGTGACCCTTTGCTGCAATATATACTATGGGTGCGGACTGAAAATTATTTTCCGCTGTGATTTGCTTTGTTGTTTGCAATGGTACCTGATAACATTGATAAATGCTCACACCAGCGATCATCTGTTTTCTCTGCTTGACAGGCAATCGCAAACACTCGTACCATTACAAAATGGTGAAATTTCCCATCACTTAGCAGAGTCCAGGTATGCATTTAGCGTATATATTTTGGCGTTTTGTTTCTGTGACTTGGTTCTGATTTCCGTGGAAATGCCTGCCTGTCTGGAACATGCCTTCAGCAACTCGTGCTGGGACCCGTTCCTCAAAGCGATCGTAGCGCTAAGATGATCGTAACTCCCATACTTTAACATAGACTTACGACAGTCGTAGCTGTACGATCGCTTTGAGGAACGGGGCCCTGGTCGACAGAGGCGACTATCAGGCTCATTGAGTTGGTTGGTGGACTGTCAACCAACATATATTGGCCAAGAATCGATTAATTACAGCTGGAATAATGTGACGTTAAACACCATACAAACCAACCAACCAACCAACATGTTTCCGTGTTAACGCTTCATGGATCCCTAAGATGTGTGAATCCAATCCTCTGGGTTCATCTGTTCATCTAGAAGACGTCTCGAAGGCGATACGACTGAAGGTGTATCTACACTCACATTTAAAATCTCGCGTTTACATTACTCGTTTATGTCTTGGCAATATTTAAGCAAGGTTTCAGAAATATTAGAAAGGGAATTACTCTTACCGTGGCAAAGCTGAAGAAGACTCGGTTTAGTTTCTGGTCCTTCAGCCCTACGTCTTTCTGTAGAATACATCTTTCATATCATTGTAAAATAAGACGGTTAACCACAAGGAGAGGAGCGGTAGATGATGCAATGGAATAGTGCTGATACCAGCTGTTTTGTAAACAGTGTGCGTATCCTGCCTCACTAGTGGTAACCATCACAAATGCATGCAAACTGGTCACTTGATAAAAACACGAGAACTGATGTTACAAATTTAAATAAGTAATTGTATCGGACACGAATTGTGTCACTGATACGTCAAATGTAGAAACGTTCACCATGTGTTTACCATAAATCTTCTGAAAGGGACCCGTGAAGATCCATATTAGAATTGGTCTTCAGTAACCCATGCTTGTCGTAAGAGGCGCCTAACGGGATCGGGTGGTCCGGCTCACTAACCTGGTTGACACATGTCATCGTGTCCCAACTGCGTAGATCAATGTTCATGCTGTTGATCACTGGATTGTCTGGTCCAGACTCGATTATTTACAGACCGCCATCATATAGCAGGAATATTGCTGTGTGCGGCGTTAAACATCTATTCAACCAACCAACCTTTTGAAAGCTCTGCTGACGCCTTGAATGTAAACCCAGCCCAAAAACATATGACCAAGAGTCGCAGGGACGTTATATGCAACCCTCGAGGAAACAGCATGCTCGATTGTGCTTCAAAAATGTTGAAATTTTTATTGGAGTTGCTAGAAAGGAGAAGTTGACTTGTGGTGAACTTGAATTATATGACATGTGTAACGTTATTCCATTGTTTCAGCATTTCACTATCTAAAACTATCCGAGAGTTACCAAAGTAACGGAAAGTATTTGTGTTACTGCGCGTGTTACCTGCTGTGTACACTTTAAAGGGGACAACATATGACAAGACGTCGCATAATGGCGCGTCTCACCGATCACTGTTTATAATCGCGATAATTGTGACATTTCTGCATTATGATGTAGTAAATGTATCAAGACACGTTTTACAAAGTCACATGAAATATGATTTAAGTAGAGGAATATCCTCTCCATTCCTCAAATATAGTGGACCTCGGCTGCATTACTTGTAAGGGGTGGAGAGGTACTCGGGTATTCCTCTCTACCCTATCCCTCTTTCCTAAAATCTTGAGGAGAATTTTCTGTCTCTCTCTCTTCGAGAAAAGATCCAAATGCAAACAAAACGAGTTCGCTGGCATCTTATATTTCTCATTCAGTTGTGTACACCAGAGGAAAAAAAATAGTCGGTCATTATTAACCGCTATGACGTCATTGGTATACCCCAAGCTCAAGTTTACATTCTTTGCCCGTTTGCCTTGTGTTAATGTGTCCGATCCGAGCAGAAAGTCGGATTCTTGTGGATAAAGAATCGGATCTACAATCGGGGCAACGATACCAGTGGAGCTAGACAGTTCATACGTAATAAATTCCTAGATGTATTTTTTAAACCAGTACATAATTTGAACGTTGGAAAACATTTGGCTTGTGTGAGCTCAAGCCCAACCAGTCACGCACCCACGCACGGGATGGCCTAAAAGTCGGGCCAAGAAAAGTCGGGCCGGGCCGGGCCACCGGGTAATACTAAAAATGGATTGCAGAATATTAAAACGAAACCTGCACATTTGGATCGACACACTTCCTGCCTTCACAAATGCATAGTTTGATTGAAAAGGTATAGTTAGTGGTGGAAAAACCCACACAACGACAATGACTACATACCGAGATTCCCGTAGAAAAGACACCGTCTTGTTGTTATGTGTTTTCCTTGATATATCTATGGGGGAAGGTTGCTTACTTCTCTCAGCTCGTGACATCCGGGGGTCCTGAGCAGGAAGTGACAGTGTTTTGACTGCTTTTCTTTCCTTAATTAAGATATTGGGGTTCCCTAATTAACCTTTATTGTCTCAGGCTGAATCAGCGCAGGATGTTTATGTTAAAAAGACGTGGATATCGGCGAGTGTCAATGGGCAAATACGACATGATTATGTATATTAAAAGACATGTTTGAAATCACAAAATTTTGTAATATGTTATAAAGGATCAAACAAAGTATGCATTCACAAACACAAAAATTCTTATGTGTTTTCATTGTAAATAATACCAGCCCAAATCAGATAGCCAGCGCGTATGCATATGCTGATATTTACTAATACACATGGAACACAAAATGGTATTATATCTACCTAAATACCACTTCATAAAGTAAAGTAAAAGTGAAGCCCCATTCTCTATCCATTCCCAACGATTTAGGAAAATAAACTCCTCGGAAAACAAAATCCGCAGTCAAAAGTGTTTAGTCTCTGTTCAGCCCGACTTGGCCCGTGCTGTCAAAAACACCTTAAACCTCACACATGAATCCCGATATCTGTCTATATCTCTAGAATAGAGTTATATCTACCTAAGTACGTCTTTATATAGCCTCAAGGCGTTGTATTTGAAGCAAACACCTTGCTTAAAGTGAAGCCCTATTTTCTATACATTCTCAACAACCACACAGTATCACAGTCATGCTTTCGGTCCGGCTTGGCCCGGGCTCTCAAGCGCACCTTAAACCCTTTAATTCCATAGATTATTATTATATCTACCTAAATATCAATGTGTGATGTTACAAAATGCCACATATAAAGAAAACTGCTTCGTTAAAGTTAGCCCTTTTGTCTCTCTATTCTCTCTCAATATAGTCTGAATCAAAAGTGTTAAGTCTCTGTTCGGCCGGTGGTAGGACAATAGGCCACCAAGGACATAACACCCTCAGACAAAACACCCCTAGGCTAAATGCCCCCATGACAAGAGCCCTCAATGGGTAGGACAAAAGGTCCTCAATGAAGAGATGTAATAGAATACCAACAAATCTTTTTTTCATTTCCACATGAATACAATATAATATAACATTAAATAGCATATGTAACCATGCCGTCATATGATTCCGTGGTACTAACGTTTCCGTGCTATTTTCTAATGACATAATTTCTCACGAGCCACTCGCCAAATCGCGCCACCTATCGATTGTTTACGTTCATCAGTTGATCGCATTGGCCCGGGCTCTCAAAAACAACTTAAACCCCACACATATGTCCTGATTTGTGTTTAATTCCATAGATTAGTATTATATCTACCTAAATATCACCGTATGATGGTACAAAATGCCACATGTAAAGATAACTGGTTCGTTAAAGTGAAGCCTTTTTGTCTCTCCATTCACAACATAGCCTCAATCAAAAGTGTTTAGTCGCTGTTCAGCCCGACTTGGCCCGGGCTCTCAAAACCAACTTAAACCTCACACATATATCCTGATATGTGTTTTAACACATAGATTAGTATTATATCTACCTAAATATCACTTCACAGAGCCTCAAAGCGTAGTATTTGAAGCAAACACCTTGCTGAAAGTGAAGCTCTCTTTTCTACATATTCTCAACAAAGACACTGTATCACAAGCGTTCGGTCCGGTTGGCCTGGACTCTCAAAAACACCAAAATTACCTTTACAAATCACAAATCTGTCTGTGTTATAACATACAAATAGAAAATTGATACACTCACTACGTCTTTAAGTATTGTCAACGTTATAAGGAGACAATACAGCTCAAACTGCCATTGCGTTAGATGTACTGATGAATATCTGTATAGATAAAGCCTGCTCTAGCCAATTGCAAGGTGTCTGGAGTCTTTCTTCCCGTCCACGCACTGTATGTCCGGAGACGACGCAGGAAGTCCCTGTCCCTGCAGCCTGTCCCGTCCCCATCACTCGGTGTCCAGCGGTCGGACAGTGTGACCACTGTGTTCGAGACGACCACTGATGCACGTTTCATGCTTCTCGTGTGTGCACGCATTGACAATCAACGATGAACTGAACTGGCACATAGATAGAGAATACTACACGAAGTCTCATTATACATTCATACATACGAAACGAGTGTCCTTCCTATGGTATCTGACCGAGCGAAAGCGAGGTCAGAAACCATAGGAAGGTCACGAGTTTCGTATAATTCGTATGTAATGAGACCAAGTGTGGTATTTTATTTATTACCCACGTCTTACATGCATTAAATTGACAAAATAGCGTATTTTTTTTATTGTTATGGTTTCAAACGGAAACCGGTTTCATAAAGAGGTTGCGGAAGAATTTTGTTCTGAAGTACAATTTTGCATGACGTCACACTGTACGTCACTACGAAATTCTCGCCTGTCCCCTTGGTAACCGACGTCACGATGCATGTCAGTTTTCATCGCCTCTCGTACAGACTCCTACAGTAAACTATTCCGTAGCACCCTGTTTCTTGGTTTGCAACTGCTTCACACGGCTAACATCACTGGTGGAAACATTGCGTTTATGTTTTTCGACGGATATAATGTCTCAGTTCGACTCACAATTAAACAGCGACACGGCAACGTTCACTCTCCTACCCAGAGTTCCATGCGGCAAGCCAGCATAGTACCTCTGCCACAGGCCAGAAAAATGTGACGATTCGTCACATCTTGCAATGTCCATTCAATATAATGTACAGATTTCTTTTACTCTTTTATTTTTGACGAGTCTACACATCTAACTAAACATATTTAATAGAATGGTTTAGTTTTACTGAGAAAATATCCAAAAACATGTAACACTATTTCGATTTGCGTAGCGATCCTTTGTTTACATAGGTTGCACGGCTCCACGTGCAGTCATCGAAGCCGACGGAGAGCAAACGATGCAGCCAGTTTGATATATAAATATGTACTGTCATAGACCTAACTGTCGCAGTTATGGAAGAATATATACTGAGTCAAAAAAGAAACTTCACAAAATGTAATTTGAAAAATAATGAATAATTTTTCTCTGATGATACATCTGTGTATCCGAAATGGGATCCCTATCTTTCGACTCTAGACAAACGTTAGCAAAACCCACTCAAACCCATCCATTCGTCGTGCAAATGACGTTAGTGCCAAATCAGGTTTTGCACGCGCAGTCGATCACGTGATCTTCGCATCGAAGTTTTCTTCATATGCACGTGTTTGCATTGGCCTCAAGAATTGAAAAAACACTTTTAAACCACAGTTCTAACGGTACTTGAAATGCCACGATTGTCAAATGTGCAACGTGAACGTGCCGTTGGCATGTTGCAAGCGGGAAGATCAGTTATTGACGTCGCAAGAGCAATGGGATGCAGCCGTCGTACTGTGTATGACCTGCGAGGTCGTCTACAACAAACTGGCACCACTTCTGATCGCCCAAGGTCGGGTCGTCCACGTGTGATGTCACGAGCAGAAGACCGTCAAATCGTCCTACGTCACCTACGTGACAGATTTCTGCCGGCTACACGAACCAGGGCTGAGATGTTTAGAGGTCGACTGTCCTCACAGACCATTCGAAATCGGTTGCGGGCTGCCAATCTCCATTCTCGACGTCCATATCGTGGGCCAATATTGACGCCGTTTCATCAACGTCAACGTCTGCTGTGGGCCCAACGGCACCTCCGATGGACCCAGAGAGACTGGAATCGAGTCGTCTTTAGCGATGAATCCAGGTTTACCCTCAGATTCGCGGACGGCAGGCATAGAGTCTGGAGACGACGTCGTGAACGGTATGCCCAATGTTGTGTACAGAAAGTCGACAGATTCGGGGGCGGAAGTTGCATGGTGTGGGGTGCTTTCTGTGGGAACAACCGTTCCCGACTTCTGGTCATCCGTGGAAACCTCACAGCTGCTGCTTACCGCGAACAGGTGCTCACCCCTGAACTCGTTCCTTTCATGGCGGCTCATGGCCCAGGTCTACAGTTCCAGCATGATAATGTCCATCGAGGTCCCCTGACCTTAATCCAATAGAGCACGTTTGGGATGCACTTGGGAGAAGGCTTCGTGGTCTTAGGAACCAACCTCAGAATTTGCAGGAACTTGGCGCTGCCTTGCAATAGCAATGGCGCAGAATCCCCAACCACGTGTTCACAAGCATCAGGCAGTCGACGAGGAGACGTTGTTTGGCAGTGGTGAATGCGCGGGGCGGCCATACACGATATTGAACTAAAAAAATATATATTCTCAGAGACTAAGCGTGCACTGTCTAGCACGACCCCCCATCTTTTATTCAGCCACTGGTGACCGCTTTTAATGATGCACGTGTTGTTGACAGGAGTTTGTTTACATGGCATGAATGATATGAACACGAAGAACATGCATATTGCTATTAGTGGCGATGAATTTCATTACATTTTTCTCTGCCCTTTCAAAAATCATCGGAAAGCTTATATCCCAAACGATTATGTTAAAAAACCCAATGCGGTAAGATTTCACGAATTTTTAACTGTCATTAATGTTTAAGAAACAAACGTGTATAGTTTGTACTATCATGAAAACTGTATAATCCAACCATCCAATGTTTTAATTAACTGAATATTTGTACCTCTTATGTAGAGTATCCAGGCAGTGTGCGAAATAGCCACTGACCCGCTAGCCCGTGGCTGGTAAAAATCCAGTCGGGCCAGTGACTGTTGAGATTTACTGGCCCAACTGGCTATAGTGAATTTTCAAGGGGCCATTTTGTAAATATATCACTCTCTCCGACTTGTTAAGTTATAATACACTCTTAAGTCATGCATAATTATGATAAAATGTTCATCAAATTAGTAACTGAATGATGAAACCCGTGTCTACATTCAAAGGTCGGGCTTGTGAATTGTGTGGGCTAGTAACTTTCAGGCATCGCTAGCCCGACTGGCTAGCACAATTTGGAAACTATTTTGCACACTGTACCCAGGCCTGAGCGTAATAAATGTTCTGTTCTGTTCTGTAGCAATTTCTTTTATACATGTATATGATTGTGGTAAGAATGAGGAGACTACTCCGTCTCCTAGACCACAGATACAGTTTGTCCAACTGATGTCCATGGGTTATTGTGCAAGTCTCGTCTTCTCAACTCTGTTCAGGGACCCGTTCCTCAAGGCGATCGTAGCGCTACGACAGTCGTAAGTCTATATTAAAGTATAGGAGTTACGATCAACTTAGCGCTACGATCGCCTTGAGGAACGGGGCCCTGGACTCCATTTGGATTGTACTTTCAGAGGTAAATATACTTTCAAATTCGGTAACTCTGGGACTAAACATTTGTCTAGTTTATCTGGCTTTTTTCTTTGTTGTTAAGTGACGCACAGCCATATGGAGGCGGTCTCTAAATAATCGAGTCATGACCAGATAATCCAGTGATTAACAGCATGAGCATCGATCTACGCAGTGGGAATACGATATGAGTCAACCCGTTCCCGTTTCGACAAGCAAGGGTTGCTGAAGACCAATTCTAACCCGGATCTTAACGGGACGTTTGTCTAATGAAACCCACGAAGCGGACATATACTTCCCATAGGTCATACTTGCGAATTAATGTCAATGAGGTGACAGTAAACACGTTTTAGTGACACACGCACATGCCTAGCTGGACGTGGTGTACAGCAGGGAGTAGGGGTAACTGACGTGCAGGGCACATCGTGCGCTCGATAACCCGGAAGGTGGACATCCGTGTCGTGGAAGTACAACGTAATACAATAATACAATTTGTAAGACGTGGGTTTATTCCAGAGTACAACGTTTTAGCTCCAACACATCCTTCCATGAAACGAAGTGAACCGTTTATAAAAGGAAAACCACCGAGAACCGATAAAGTATCAGGCAATAACGATGGACGCCGGCGGACTGTGGATGTTTGTAATGATAAATATGTGACTGTTTACGACAACAGGATGTGGCATTGTGACGTGTCTGAGTGTTGATCAACAACCGTTTAAAGTACCGAGTGACCCTTTCTGGCTACTGTTTACATCCCATCTGCCTATTCCAGATTTACTGGGGATTTATTTTACAGTTTAATATATGTATATTACAATTTCGTATTACGAGCTATAATTTTATACAATCTGTAATTATAATAGTATTTCCTATTTCTTAGATTGTTACAGTAATGTCCACGACCCTCTTCTGATTGTAATTTAAAAAAAGTTAGAATGTAATGTAATGCTACCATTGGAAACGATAAAATAACTGGCGAAACCACAGAATTAGAGGCAAAAACTAAAGGTTAAAGGGATACATGAGGAACGTGATTTTGTTGGTTGTATAACGAAACACTCAACAATATTCCAGTTATGTGACGGTGATCTGGATGTACCAGCATGACATCATGCAATAACCAAGCCTGACCATCCGATCGCGTTAGTTGCCTCTCATGGCAAGCATCAGTTGTTAAAGATGAATTCATTAACGGATGTTCACGGGTCTGGTGATAGTGACGTCACAAGAAAGAACGCTACGTTCTGCACGTGCAGGACATGGCGACCAGGAATTTTCTGTCCAGGCTATTCTACACCAAATTAGTGCCGAATGCAGATTGAGTGCTGATTCAGAAATGTGACACCTCAGATTGGATGAGTTTGTGCAAGATCTTTGCGTCTTCTTAAATAAAATTATACATATATCTATCCAGTAATTAAACCTGACCAAACCATTGATGAATTGTACATTAAACTCAAACGGCTCTATCTTTGTATACCGGTGCCATTAGACTTGTTGGAGAACTTACCATAGTGGAACCTAACGTACATATATTACTGAACAGTTACGTCTATATAAGGGACCGTTCATAATATATGGCTAAGGGGTTGATGATGACATAAAGGGGGGACGCCCATTTTGTTCTCGGGAGGTAGGGGGATGTCATAAACTTGTACACAGGTACTCGGTGCCGGGGGGCTCAGCAATTTTGCACATAAAAATCTGAAAAGATTATGCTTAAAAATTAAGGGGGGGGGGTAATTGATTGTCTACATGACATGCAGGGGGGTCACTTCCTTTGTACATAAACTTGGGGCGGGGGCATTCACATTGTACTTGCATCTCCTTAAAAATCACCACCCCTTCCCCCATCCCAAGCCATAAATTATGAACGGTCCCTAATCTGAATATTACCAAAAGAGGCGTAAAACTTCAGTGACTCAACTTCCTGAATCGTCCTGATTATGATGCTTGATTTGACAGTTCCATACCTCAGTAGTTCCTCCAAACTAGTACCTGGCTTTCTTCCATTTTTCAGATGCCAGACGTAAGCAACCCATGCCCATATGCCCCGTTCGTCGCACGGTTTTACTATCTCTTTGTGCTCTCCTTCCGTTTTAAATCTTACACAACGTGGGCACACTATCACCACTGATAGTATATTTTGCACAAATGAACCATCCTCGATTATGTAGGGCTCTATATAACTATAAAAGATTTCTAACTTACTCCGCTGAGCCAATAGCAGTGATGACGAGTGGGTCTCACTCCTAAAATCGTCACTGTGAAAGAAATGAAAACTATTGTAGTATTTTCAACATGTGTTTATTGCATTGGATATTCAATGCCCACTTGTAGATAAAAACATATGAAACAGCTGTAAACATGCAATAAATAAATAAATAAATACAAGAACAGATTGTATAATAATACAAGAATAGATAACAACGTGTTTCAGTAAAATGAAAGCAAATTGAGGGGGTGATAGGAAGCTGGACACACCTCATCATGTCAATATAAATATACACGTGTCCAGTCCTTTGGCACGATCTCACATGTTGACCTCGACAATGACCGAATTGTTGTTGCAAATACATAATAACAATGTGTTATTTGATTTACATTTTCTCTCAGTTTACATTTTGTTTTACACCCTGTGTTATGGCAAAAACACCTTCACCGTTCCAAGTATCGTTTTTCTACACACACAACATTCAGTGACTTTAGGTGCACAATTAGAGCATGTGACCAGATGACCACAGGGTAGGAACAGTTCACTGACAATCTCAGTCTTGCATATCTTGCACGTCCGTCTCTCTCTCAGACGTTTGTTCTGCTCAGCTAATGACTGAGAAGAAGGAACTATTGTGTCTTCAGTTGATGTTTGGACTGGGTTTGTGTCTGAAGAGGATGGTGTTGTAGGAGGGGAAGATGTGTTAATGCTTCTTGTCGTTTGTTCTGAGGTAGGGACACTGCGTTCTGACGAAGGGTTCTGTCCTTCAGCTTGTATCGATGGTGCTGCTGAAGACGTCGAGTCATCTGACGTCTGACTTGTTATGGTATTGGCTGATTTAAAACTATCTTGGTATGTGGCTCCAGTAGTTGCTATGCAACGTTTGTGGTCTGCCACAGTGACGTCTTGGCTTGCACCTGAAGGTTCACCTGGGTTCTGTCTGACCACCTGATTTGTCAGAGAACCTCTTGATGGTTGTTTATTCTTTCCTTCCTCCGTCCTCACTCCATCTTGGTCATTTGCTACCGTGGAACCCGTCCTTGTGGCAACTCCAAGCTGGTTCAGGTCTGTCTTGTTGATGAACTGACAGTGTTCCGAGTATCTCTGATGTTCCGCCACAGGGTCATGTTCTTCCTCCCAGTCTCTCAGAGTTATCCCACACTGGAAACACGTGACCCGGTCAGCTGACCCGATGTAGAAGAAGCCCGCTGATGCCAGTTCCTCAGGAGTTTTGGGCACATATCTTCTCGGCCAATCAACGAAGGAGTCTAGCCGTGCCTGTAGAGATTGGTACTTGGGATGTTTTGGAGGCGGAGTCTGTCCCAGCTTCCGGTACAAGGAGACGATGAAGGGGCAGTGAGTCCTCCTAAAGGCATGTTCGTGTAGAGCGTCATCTGTGTCCGTCCAGTTGAGGAGCTTCAGACCACAGCGTTCACACTCAACCTTGTCTCCGATACCTAGAACATCGTACGTAAGACTCAAATTAAGGAAATAGATGGAAAACATCTGGAGGCAATATTCATAACTGGAAAGATACATACATACATGTATAACGGTCTTGCAGGAGAGTCGTTCTTCAGGCCCTCGAGAATGTCTAGTGTGAGAACATGTTATTTTTTGGGTACGTTAAACGCAATGTTATAGTCTAGTATCAACCGTGTGGATAATAATTTTAAGCTAAAACAAATCGTCAATATCAGATTAACATACCTTTCGCCTTTATTGACAGTTCTTCCACGTCATCCCGTCTTCCCAGAAACAATCTTCTCCCGGCTTAGAGTTAATGTTATCTGATTGTTAAGGTCATTGGTAAGCTGATGTACGTGACAATGACATATATGTATAGGTTAGAAGACGAGGACGCGTTCTGTAACCATGGATTAAGGCGGTTAGAGCCCTAGGCGCGGAACGCGTCCGAGTCTTCTAACCTACTTAGAGCATGCACACAAATACTGCTTTTGATAAAATAAAAGAATAATATTTATTTGGTACGCGTCTGTAATTTAATGGATGGTCTATAGTTTTTTAAGCGCAAGCAAGGTTGTGGTACGGTCGACTTATGTCATGAACGGCACGTGCAGTCGCTATCGTCGTTAAATCAACGCTAATATGTCTTTACCAGTTATCGAAGGTCGTCTTGAGAAAGCGGCCCGATGCTCTTTGATTAATCAGCTTCAGGGGTACATAGGATTCCATTCCGGGCCCCCATCAAGGATAGTTAATGAACCGAGGACGTAAAGCACGTGCTTTTCGAAAATCTCACCTTTACAAACGCATGGTCTCCGCGCACATGTCTCTTCATTACGCAGCAGGTATGAGTGGCGACAGCGACGATACGTTGATTCTAGCTTCACAGTGTGAGTTTTTGACAATAAGTGAAAACTCTGAAGATGATGAAATTCTATGCACAGCACTGGAAACTGCGGAGGAAAGGGATCTTCTTCAGCAACATTACAGCGATATTAGCGACGTGGAGGAAGAAGTCCACGTGAGTGAGAATGTGTTTGGCGGCGGTAGTGGGAAGCATAGTGATCATGAAAGATTTTCTGTACCGTTGTTGGATTCTGAAATTGCAGGATTATGCGAGACAAGTGTGCCTCAAAATACCAAACAGAATTTACGTTGGGCCTGTGGTCTTTTTGAAACTTACGTAATCAGATTTTTACGAGGGGGAACATCCGGACAGCGTTTAAGTTTAATAGCTCACGAACTCGAGGATCTGAACGATCTGAACATCGGAATACCGCTGTGAGAGAGTACAAGCGAGTTAGTACAGCTCAGGAGAAAGAACTGAGCAACGTGATCCAAGATGGCGGTGAACTCCCTAAGAGACGACGAACTGCTGACTCCAGTGTCGACGTAGCTACCACTACCACGCCCGCAGTCTCGCAAAGTGTGACGGACGATCGCGTCGCGATTTCAGTGTCTGTTGTCATTAAAAAGTAATAAAAAGTAATTATAGTCGAAATTGTTCTTTTCATTTGAGAAAGTAGTTCCGTCCGGGTTGTAACCGCCACATCGGATGGTTATAGTATGGTCGAAGACACAGGAAGCATACTCTAAATACGGTTACATGGTTAAAAAAACGTATCTTATAGTAAATTTAAAGACTGATAGCAATAAATTTAATTGTTGAATCTATACACCTGGAAAAAAGTATCGCAACACCAGAATCAATTGCCAAAATATGAAATATTGTTACACAGACTGATGCACGGTTTATAGATATGATATTGTTGGTGTATATGCCTCCCCCTACATGATCATAATGGATGTTCGCGCTGCACGTGCTGCAGCTGCAACCTGTTGAATACGTGCACTCTTGTTGTTCTGAAAAGCAAGTTTGCGCCATTCATCATTACAACGTGTTATCACACCAAAGCACTGAAGCAGACAATAACTGATGAAATGGGTCCCCCTCAGTTGTCAAATGCTAAAAGATGGCAGATAATTGGCATGAGAAATGCTGGAATGTCTTTGAGACAGATTGCTGTCCAAGTTGGTCATCATCCTTCCACAATCAATAGGTTGGTACCAACACACCAACAAACAGCAGATGTAAGGGACAGGCAACGTTCAGGTAGAACCCGGTGCACATCTGCAAGAGAAGACGCAGTTCTGATGAGACATGTACGCCGTAATCCAGGGTCTGGTTACCCAATCGGCAAGTTTTCCACGGGGCGTTCAGAAACCGGTTGAAAGCTGCGGGATATCGTGCTAGACGTCCAATAAGATGACCCCTGTTAACAGATGGACGCAAAGCCGCGCGTTTAGCTTGGTGTAGAGCACGTTGTGGCTGAACCTGGCATCCAGAAGAAAGGTTCACTGGTCTGATGAAAGTCGTTTTCTTCCGTACATGGTCGATGGCAGAGCACATGTATGGCGTCGTAGAAACACAGCATATGCACAGAGGAACATTCTGGAGCAGGTTCCATATGTTGGCGGGTCGATTATGGTGTGAGGTTGTCTGTCTTACGACTGTAAGCTTCAGCTTGTCTCTGTGAGGGGTAATCTTACTGGCCAAAGATATCAGAGGGAGATCTTGGAGAGGGTTGTTGTGCCACACTTTGACAATCACCCTATTTTCACAAGGCCAGTGTACATAAATGACAACGCCAGGCCCCACAGAAGTCGGGCAGTGACGAATTACTTACTCCAGGAAGCAATCACAACGTTACCATGGCCAGCACGAAGTCCAGATCTCAATCCAATTGAGCATGTTAGGGACATTTTAGGACGCCTTCTGCGTGAGAGGGTTCCACGAGTACAGAATCTTGCAGACTTGGAACTTAATCTCCACCAGGAGTGGAATAGGCTACCTCGATGACAGATACAGCGTCTGGTGCACTCTGTGAGAGAGCGTCTTCAATCGGTCATCCCGGCGGGGGGTGGATGCACTCGATACTGACATTATCACCTGTTTTGGTAAATTTCCTAGGATGAGATATGCATTCCACGTGTGTGAACCAACGTATTGTCTTACTAACCCCATACTTTTCCAGTGTACGTTTCACCTCAATTTGCACAAGTATTTGTAACAGTAATTACATCATTGAAGTCAAACTCAACTGGACATCAGTGTCGTCATTTCTATTCAAATACACACTGTTTTAACAATGCATTACCATTTGCATCAATTGGCAGCATTGTGTATCCATACTATGCAGTGAAATGTCATTGCTCATAAAAAAACAAGGGGCTGCAATACTTTTTTCCAGGTGTGCACTCTTTCGAGGCGGTTTTAAAAAAAGACATCACTGCAATGGAAGATAATGCTATAAAAAGGTATTCTGGGCGGTCATGTGACAGGAAATGACGTGGCTTTTGTAGAACTGTCAAAGGTCGCATGTTGTTGTATACACTTAATGCACGGATGATACGTTCATCTAGAGAAAAAAGTGACGTAAATAGATATAAAAAACAATTTACACAAACTTTGAACTAATGTTAACTTGTTGAACATTCATGTCACCAAACCAACGTGGTTACGTGCATGCAAACATGTATATCACATTTTGAGTTCGGATTGGTAGAAAAGTGATCAGCACTGTTTGGCGTCGACTGACCGAGGATCATAATCGGGTCGGATCTTAGATTCGAACACACGACCACCGTCCTCTGAACAAATAGACACAATCACTCGGCCACCCGTATCTCTCGTTAGTCAGTTTAACGCTATTAATGATCACCCAATCCACAGTACTGTCACACAGAATGAGATTTCTCCATGGGATGGATACACTGATAACGAATTTCTAGGTATAATTTTCATGTCATATGTCCCGAACTATAATCGTTCTGTACAAGAGAGCAGTTTGGGGCATAATAAAACATTATGATTGTTTCAAGTGCCTGAAGAAAATATGCTGTTTCTCGTATAACCCCGATCATTATAATTCTCTGAATGGATCGATGCTCATGCTGTTGATCACAGGAATGTCTGGTCCAGTCTGGATTACAAGTATTTACAGACCGCCGCCACATAGCTGGAATATGGAGTGCGGCGTCTAACAATTAACAAACAAACAACACAAACAATAAAATTCTTCATCTCTCTATCAGAAAAATATACATTTAATTTCAAATGATAGTGCTATGTGCAGGAATAACGAGAAACAATGAGATATTTTATTCAGGCGTGTGGTTAAGAAAACTCAGTTCACATGTACCTGTAAAGCTGAATCCTGCCCTCGCTAAAATATGTCTGTCTTTCTTTCCCGCCCATCTATCGTCATATGTCCCGAGGCGTCGCGTGAAGCTGTCGCTCTCCCAGCTTGTACCGCCCCCCTCACGCGCTAACCCCATCACGCAGGTGTCTGTAAGATCCATTGAACTGTCAGTGCTGGCCGGAGTAGCTGTTGGCGTACTGTCGCTAATACGCTTTAACCGTTCTGATGATGTCACGTTCTTTACGTGTTTTGATATACCCAGTGAATCTCTTCGGGAAACTTCGAGCGTAATATAGACAACCAATGGAACGAGATACGTTTCAGTCAAGGTTTCCCTTCGAGAAACCTCGAGCTAAATATAGATAACCAATGGAAAAAAGATGACGTCACATGTTGTGTTGATGCAGATTATGGAAATGTTTACGGGAGAGTGGGGAAAGTTTCATTTGTGAAGTATATGTTAAAATACAATGTGAAAAGACATCAGTAATATTCAGTGGGTTTTTGCAGCAGATTTTACAATACGAAAGATCAAATAGTCCAAATTTGAAGTCGTTGAACGAATACAGGAGTACTTTCAAGGCACAACGCGAGGGTACTCGAAGGCATATTTATAGAATTGACCTACTTACGTCATATCACTGCTCAGTGTCGAAATGGGAGGACGACGGCGGTGCAGTAAAACGGAATTCTTGTAGTTTTCCTCATCGACATTGCAGGAGAGACGAATCACTGGAATTATAGTATATTTTTTGCTGTTGACACAGAAAGGTGAAACCACGCTAAACCCAGCTCATGAGGGTGAGACGAGTCTATACTGAAATATCCCAGGAATTTCACTCACTCACTCCAGGTAAACTTGTACAGTGGGTAATTTCTTACACTGTCATAGTATCAGTTATTTCGACATGTATTTTTAGTTTGTCATTGTTACTCAGCATTGGAATAATTCTACTTCTGTGTAGAGAAATAAGTTCGTTGTGAAATAGTTCAGTAAATATTCTACAGTTAACGATTTTATCATTCGGAGTAAGCACATTGATTCCATCAGAAATGTCAGTCTATATCATGTAATAATGAAAATATTCACTCGACTGTAGATATCATATAACATACGCATGATCATACTTTATTATATATTTTGGGAAGGGAGTTCTTGTACAGAGTAAAACATCATGTCTTTCTGTGTGCCAGTATTGGAGTTATTGCTGAATCAGTATATTGTTTATCTATTGTCTGCAACCATTTCAGTGTATTTTCTTCAAATGAGGATATTTCAATTACCTTCATTACCTGGAGATTGTTAATGGTAATGGAGACAGCCTTAGGGCCTATTCGATTATGCTAAACCGGTTTTGGTTTCAGGAAAACCAGGCACTCGATTATGTCGAAACCTAAAACTGGGTTCTGAAACTTCGAAACCATCTCCGAGGCAGGTTTTGCAGTTTCAGTTTCGCGTTCTCTCACAACAAACATGGCGGAAACGAAAGCGCCAAGTTCAGCTGATCTTGGTGGCAAAATAGACCAGCAGTTTTTGGAACCAAAATAATGATAAAAATCAACTGAGAACTAGGAAAATATTATTTAAAACCCCAGTCTATTGAACATGGCTATTTTATGTAACTTGTATATACTGTATATATAATTACTTGTAACGATATAATTACAAATACGCAAATATTTACCTCCAAAAGCATCTTATCTCTTTTTTATTTTTTAATTCACTGATAACATGAAAAACATATGCTGTCATCCAATTAGTTCCACATATACAGTAGCTGAGACATTTTTTTTTGGTATCTATTTTGAAACCGGACGGTGAAACCATCCACTCGTTTATAAAACTAGAAACTAGTTTTACTTTGAAACCATGTATCCGAAACTAGACACTCGTTTATAACAGGAGAAACCAGTTTCAAAAACCAAAACCAGTTTCGCAATAATCGAACAGGCCCTTAGTTTTGAGTTTATCATCTAAAGTACGGATTGGGCGAATAAATCTCGGCAATGCTTTCAACCAATGGGAATTTAACGAAAAGTCCAAAACACTGAAAAACATTCTGAGATAATGGATTTGCCCTTGTGTGACGAATGAGGCAGATGGGGTATTATACGTTAACCCTTTCCCCAACAGACGGTATTGTCACCATGTCGTATTGACTTCGAACCACTTTCTGAAGACATTGAACATTGGGCTCTGCTTTACCGTGATTTCATCATAAGCTCAGTATCATGTAAATATTATGCTGTGTCAACTATAGCTAAAATACATAGTGTTCACTAACATGAACAGCGTTGAACGCTATTTATCTTAGCTATGTCAACCACAGAACAAATGCCGCTCTCCATCCACACCTGGCCCTCCCTATTCCACTATAAAACAGCAGAATCTCTGACACTTTTACGTAATTCAAAATCAGCATATTATTGTTCGTTTCAACAATATCAGTAAGTACTTTATGTTGTGACTGGAGTATCTTTCCATTAGTTGTTTACTTTTTTTTACGCCGCCGCCATATGGCTGGAATATTGCTGAGTGCGTCGTAAAACTCAACTCACTCACTCACTTTTTTTACGCAAATTGTATGGCGGGTGATACCTTTAGAGAAGGACATGCTTATCTTTTTCGTGAACACATGGGATACCCCAATCAATATAGCAACTCATTCTCACAATTTTCAACATTATTTTGCCTTTTACGCCAAATAAAATCTGTTCTAGCAGATATCTGAAAACGATTTCACATTGTGAATATAATGAATAGTTTGGGATTCCTTTCGAAACAATGACCAGAATAGTTGTCATTACAAACAACGTAATCCCTCACAAGAATATTAATACATGGTCAGTCTGTATATACAACACAAACAATGATTTTACCTGTCATAGGGTGGGTATTGCAGAGAAATTTCATATTGCGATATATTGCCATGCGGAAGCATATATTGCGATATGTATTGCAATATATTGCAGGGGTTATTTTTTTAACAAAAACTACTTATAATCGAGTTAATGCTTGATTATAAAGCAAAAACACAACAAAATCACAATGATTGATTAACCTTTTATAAAAACTTTTAATCATAACAAAATAAAAATGTAAGTAACATTTGGCACTAATGAAACAGGGAAAAGAACAATTAAAAATACGGAAATATCCGAAGATTTCCGACTGTAACGAAGTTTTCCGAATGCATGTCAAAATACCGGTTTTCGATCAGCGTATCGCAATACGTATCGTTTTCATGTCTGAACCGGTAAATACCGGTAAACCGGTTATATTGCGCAGCCCTACTTGTCATATCTCAGTTACTATACTTCTCACGTTAGAAACGTTTTAACTGTTCCAAGGATTGTTTTCCCGCACACACAACAATCAGACACTTTTGGCGCACAATCCGAGCACGTGACCAGATGACCACAGGGCAAGAAAAGCATGCTGGCAGCCTCAGTCTGGCATACCCTGCACGTGCGGTTTTCTTTCAAACGCCTGTTCTCCTCGGCCAGTCGTTGAGAATTTATAGTTACTGGGCTTATATTTGGAGTAGACATGGAAAGAGGTGGTTGTTCGTTACCATCTTCGGAATGGTGTCCACGGGCGGAATGGTGATGACCTTGAAAAGTCAAGGTGCGTGCTGCAAAAGATGAATGCTCTGTATCGGGTCTCGTAAGTGATGCTAAAACATCGGACGAGTACGCACAACCTGACCTGGTCTGACATGCTCCACCAACGTCTTCATTGTGTCTTCTTACTGGAGTATTTAGATGTGGATTTGCTTCACTGGGAATACAAGTGTCTAACAGCTGTGGGTTTGTGGCTGTTCCTTCTAATATCCTTGTGGCAACTCCAAGCTGGTTCAGGTCTGTCTTGTTGATGAACTGACAGTGTTCCGAGTATCTCTGATGTTCCGCCACAGGGTCATGTTCTTCCTCCCAGTCTCTCAGAGTTATCCCACACTGGAAACACGTGACCCGGTCAGCTGACCCGATGTAGAAGAAGCCCGCTGATGCCAGTTCCTCAGGAGTTTTGGGGACATACCTTCTCGGCCAATCAACGAAAGAGTCTAGCCGTGCCTGTAGAGATTGGTACTTGGGATGTTTTGGAGGCGGTGTCTGTCCCAGCTTCCGGTACAAGGAGACGATGAAGGGGCAGTGAGTCCTCCTGGTGGCATGTTCGTGTAGGGCGTCATCTGTGTCCGTCCAGTTGAGGAGCTTCAGACCACAGCGTTCACACTCAACCTTGTCTCCGATACCTGTGCAATGATATTTATCAATCGTATTATACAAAATTGTTTCCGGACCTGAGGTAATTTAAAAAAAAATTAACACGTATTGGACACATTAGCGATGTACGGATACGTATTATTGTTATCTTTCCTTTTACCGGAAGCGTTGGGCACCGGGTGTCATTGTTATACCTGTGATTCATGCACGGGCAACGCATGACAATACTTTATGTAATATTTATCTGGAGGAGTGAAGGATTGTTTTATCTTGTAATTTCTACCACCATGGGCTGATTCTGAGCTGGATAGATGTTCGGAATGGCTCAGCAAATGAGGGTTCACCTAAAATGCACATGATAACTCTTGATCTCTATCCAAGCGATATATCTCAAAGTATTCAGTTGGGAGTAATACACTTTTTGTCATTCGTCGATTTTCCGTCCATATGTACTTCAAAAGCTGTTTTAAATAAAATTTTGTAGCATCTGTGTATTAGTTAAAATATTTTTTGGGTAATTGCCTATAGCTACCAGTTTGTTTTATGAAGGAATGTCCGGAAATATAGAGTTGTTTTCGCGGTTGTGCGGTTATTTAAAAAATAATGATCGTGGTTTAACGTAGATTATCTTTTAAATATCGTAATATGGTGAATTACTAATTTCACATGTATACCTGTGAAGACGAACCCGGCCCTCGCTAAAATTTGTCTGTCTTTTCTTCCCGTCCATCTGTCATCATATGTCCCGAGACGTCGCGTGAAGCTGTCACTCTCATCGGACGCTCCGCCCCCTTCTCGCGCTGCCCAGGTGTCTGACAGTGTCCGGGTAGTGTCGGTGCTTGACACTTTATTTTGTTCACTATGATACATGTCCGATGAACCTTTAACACTGAAGACATAATGAAGCTGACACGTGTATACATCGTATATATATGACAGACACGCAGGCATGTCGGATCACGAAACTCTCAAAATAGACCATTGGTAGTGTTGACAGCTATATCAGTGAAATATAGCTTACCGGGCATTGCACAAGATCACGCGGATCGATTGGCTGAACGATGTGTGAGGTAGTGAATGGGACAGCTAGGTTTCAGGAAGTTACGGTGTATTCATACTGGGGAGAATAACGAAGAATTTGGTAGGATCTGTACCCGAGGGAATTAATGTTGATAATTTATCGACATAACGATCCCTTACTCAATCGATGTTCCCCTACACCTACATTATATCCAGTGATGTTCGCCAGTACCTACATGCCCTGCCAGTCATGTTGTCCAACGTTCTCATTGCCAATCGTGATCATTGATTCACATGTGGGCAAGGCGTCCGATCAGAAGGTCCGTGGTTCGAATCCCAGCAAAGGACTCGGGCATTTTATGACCTCTAAATAGCCGATCAGGCTCTCCGTTATTTACATTATAGCCAATCAGGCTCTCCGTCATTTACATTATAGCCAATCAGGCTATCTGTCATCCACATCATAGCCAAACATGCTTCCTCATTCACATTATAGCCAATCAGGCTCTCCCTCATTCACATTATAGCCAATCAGGCTCTCCCTCATTCACATTATAGCCAATCAGGCTCTCCCTCATTCACATTATAGCCAATCAGGCTCTCCGTCATTTACATTATAGCCAATCAGGCTCTCAGTCATTTACATTATAGCCAATCAGGCTCTCCCTCATTCACATTATAGCCAATCAGGCTCTCCGTCATTTACATTATAACCAATCAGGCTCTCAGTCATTCACATTATAGCCAATCATACATCCTAATTTATATTACAGCCATGCAATCATGCTCTCGCTCATTCACATTATAGCAAATCACACTCTCCCTTACTCATGTTATAGCCAGTCATCCTTCCCCATTCACATGATAGCCAATCAGGCTCTTCCTCAGTCACATGATAGCCAATCAGGCTCTTCCTCAGTCACATGATAGCCAATCAGGCTCATGCTTCCTCATCCACATCCCAATCAGGCTTCCTCATTCACATATAGCCAATCAGGCTCTCCGTCATTCACATTATAGCCAATCAGGCTCTCCGTCATTTACATTATAGCCAATCAGGCTCTCCAGTCATCCTTACATTCATGATAGCCAATCAGGCCCTTCCTCAGTCACATGATAGCCAATCAGGCTCTTCCTCAGTCACATGATAGCCAATCAGGCTCTTCCTCAGTCACATGATAGCCAATCAGGCTCTTCCTCAGTCACATGATTGCCAATCAGGCTCTTCCTCAGTCACATGATAGCCAATCAGGCTCTTTATAGTCACATGATAGCCAATCAGGCTCATCACATCTAGCCAATCAGGCTCTTTATAGCCACATCATAGCCAATCAGGCTCTTACTCACATGCTAGCCAATCAGGCTCTTCCTCAGTCACATGATAGCCAATCAGGCTCTTCCTCAGTCACATGATAGCCAATCATGCTCTCCCTCATTCTCTTCATAGCTAGTCATGTCCTCATCAAAGGCTTGTTATATATCGAGTAACTGGACTCGGTTCACAGTGCCAACATGAAATACAGATAAAGCTATCAATCAATCAAACAAATAAATAAACAAACAAACAAGAACTGAAAACATACTCCCCCAAAACCGACTCACACTCGGGAAGAATACTTTTATACAAATTTTTCCTTTTCTGTTCTTTCCCCAAACATAGAAGATGGAACATATATAGTTATACCGAGAATAAAAGGTTAAGCGCCATCCTATTTCAAAGCTAAGATGTGAAGCTGTGGAAATGTTAGGCTGAAATAATTGGGAAGACCAATCCATAGTTACAGAAGGGTCATCTGGTAACTGATTTAGGGATATCATAATCATTTGTATTTACAATTAAAGGGAATATTGTTAAAAATATGATGGCACTGCTTTTAACAGCAAAAAGACTATTCCGATTCTGCTTATACAACACTATTAAACTTGTCAAAAATGACAACTATGTGACCATAAGAACTCAAGCAAACGATTACTAATCACAAAGACGAAATGAAGTAACATCACTCAGAATTATAATGTTTTCAAAGTTTTATGCAAGGACATGAAAATCTGATACCTGTAATCAGGAAACGGTTATAGCTGAAGTGAGTTTGTCCTCTCTCAGCGCAAGTCTGTCTTCAAATACGAAGCTGTCATGCTATATTCCCAGCGGAATCACGAGCTGTCCCGGAATTGGCTAGTCACAGTGATGGCTGATTCTATTGCAGATGTTATTGCGCAGGTTTCAAAATTTTCTAAAATATATTTTAGTAATGTCTATACAAGAATATTTAACTAAGCATTCAAATATATTTCAAGATTATTTAATACAAAATCCACTGTTAGCATGGTGAAGCGATACAGGTTTCCCCACTAACTTATTATAGTTCAGAAAGTGCCCCACGTGAGTTAAATAATTAACACTCATTAATGGGTAACGTTTGTGTAATGAAACCGGAAATCTAAACGTACACATTGTATTCAGACTGAAAGGTTCAGGAACTTATCCGTTACGTCAACTGGATGGAATGCTAACATTTATCGACAGGCAGGCCGTATCTGAGTTCTGATTTGTTTTGGGGGGATATGTTTGGTTTCTATAGCTGTTTCATATTAAAACATTCTGTCTTCGAAAGCGAGGTAGCCGCAACCTGACTTGCCAGGGTGGCGACCTTCTCTGTGAACGACATGTCTTGAATAGGATGGGAGGGATCTCTAGGGGCAGCTGGTTCAGTGTCGGATCCAGGTGTGTGTGTGTGTGTGTGTGTGTGTGTGTGTGTGTGTGTGTGTGTGTGTGTGTGTGTGTGTGTGTGTGTGTGTGTGTGTGTGTGTGTGTGTGTGTGTGTGTGTGTGTGTGTGTGTGTGTGTGTGTGTGTGTGTGTGTGTGTGTTTCAGGTGGTTTCTCTTTCTCCCCCCCTTCTTTGAAAATGACTTAAGAGCACATTGAAAAAAAGAAATTTGTGTTTGCGGAGCCAAGGGGGTTCAGGTTTTTTTAACACACACACACACACACACACACAAAACAACAACAAAAAAAACAACAACAAAAACAAAAAAAACAACAAAACACCCCACCCACCCCAATTCCTGGATCCGCCCATGTGGTTTATATACAGTTTGGGTGGGGTGAGGGCTTTACGGATTTGGGCCCAAGAATTCAGACCAGTGGTGAAAGTGTGAAAGAGGAAATTTTCATTGCTTTCTGAAATCGCTGCAATGATCGATTTCCACAGCTGAAGTGAAGACCCGCTTTAATGTGTCAACAGTACAACACGAGTTAAGTCCCTTCTCCTCTCCACATAACGTGAACTCGGTTAAAACCCAACCGAGGAACAAGTTGTTTTTATACGATTTTATCACTTGAATATGGGAATGTGTTGTTACTGGTTAGATCGAAAGCAGCCAGAATACAACAAACACTCCACCCCGCCCCACTCTCAACAAACAAAACCACCCAGCATAATAAACAAAAAATAGCCCAAAACAAACAAACCCGAATTACGCAGGTTGGGTACAATTCAGGGCCAGACAGATATATATTCCCTTTTTAAAAACAAATCAAGATAAAAGTTATCAATTGTACGTTAGATATAATGGTAGATATAGATAGATTCATAGGTTCGAAATACATTATTGATATACAAACATCGCTTTTGTTAAATCAGTAATTCTCTTCCGGGTTCTTGAAAACATGAATTCTTCCTCGAAGTCAATAATTCAGACAGAAACATTACCTGTCACGCTTATTAAGCATAAGCTATATATGTTGTATTGGTGCTGGTGAACTAAAAAGAATAGTTTTAAACTTCTTCCTGTTTAATCAAACTTAACACACCATTCTGATAATAAGTAACTGTTCAATTCGGAGCACTCATTGTCGGTTAAGTATTACTCAGGCTTTTCGTGGAGAAATTCAGTCCCTTGTGAGGGTTTGTATAACGGTATATGACTGCGGTCTGTAAACAGGTGTTTGTTTGAACATATTTTATTCAGTGTTGAAATGGATTGGGCACAAGTTATGTAACTTATTACCGCCCGCTCCCATCAGAAACATGAACAATAATGAACAATAATGATTGGACGTAATGGATGGACATAATAATATTGAGACATATTATTGATTAATTGAAGCGCTTACTTCGTACAATGTATTTATGCACATGTCTAAAGATATTTTCATTGATAGTATTTGGCAGAGCAGGGTTGCCGTAAAGAATGGTATCAATGTCTAACTGAACTTTTGATAGTTCAAAGTCTTTCTTCAGATCAAAACGGCAACTGACAAATTTTGGACATTTTAAGAAGAAATGGTTAGCATCTTCCACCGGAGCACCACAATTGCAAGCTCTACTCTCTGATAGATTAACACGAAACAGATCTGCTTGTAATGAACTACACGAATGTCTTAACTTCGTGTGTAGTATATTAGTCTTTCTTTCACCAAATAGAAAATATTTTGGAACCTTGTCATTTTTTCCAGATAACTTTGATTTAAACGATGATAATGAATTTGTACATTTTGTTGTAGAGGAGAGAGCATTCCATAAACTTGCAGAATCATAAATAAATGACTTTTGGAGAATTGAGGTGCGAAATTTAGGAACAGCAATTATCCCAGACCTCAGATGCATATTCTAAAATAGGCCTAATATACATTTCGTACATACTAGAAAGGATATATCTAGGTAATACGTACTTTAGCGTCCGTAATGAGGAAACAATTTTTGCGGCCTTTTCTATTACAGCAGATACATGATGAGACAATTTTGTATTATCTGAAAAGATGACACCGAGGTGTTTATGTTGATGTGCACGTTCCAAATGTTCATTATTGAAAATCAAGTCAGGAACTTGTGGACAATTTCCATTTTTAAAAAGCATGAATCTGGTCTTGTTCGGGTTAAACTTAACTAACCATTTGTCAGCCAATTCATTCAATTTTGCTAAATCATAGTTAAGAGTAGCTTCTATGGTTTTTACATCTTTTCCCGCAACACCAATTGAAGTGTCGTCGGCAAACAGTCTTGTGACATTTGTTAGAGTTTCAGGTAAATCATTGATGTACACAAGGAACAAAAATGGACCAAGGACAGATCCTTGAGGAACTCCGGCAGTAACATTTAATTCTTTTGATAATGTACCATTGATGGAAACACTCTGTCGTCTATCAGATAAATAGTTTGTTAACCAACTAAGTAAATGCCCACGAACACCATAATTTTCTAATTTGAGCAATAGCCCTTTATGCCACACCCTGTCAAAGGCCTTTGAAATGTCACAAAAAATCATACAATAAAGGTGACGAGTATCGAGAGCTGAACATATATTGTGATAGATTTCAATGAGTTGAGATGTGGTAGAGTGGTTTGTAGTAAAACCTGATTGAAATTTACTTAAAATGCTATGTTTATTGAAATGGTTATGTAAATGCTTTAACATTATTTTTTTTAAAATTTTCCCGAGGATAGATAATAAACTTATGGGTCTGTAATTAGTAGGGAGGAATTTATCTCCTTTTTTGAAAATAGGGATAATATTGCCTGTTTTCCAAGCTGAAGGAAAAACACACTGACTCAGAGAAATATTATACAGTAAACAAAGAGGTTCAGCTATTGATGTACAAATTCGTTTTAACATTCTCATATTAATACCATCAGGTCCACTAGCTTTGTTTGCTGGTAAAGTCTTAATCATATCCGACATTCCTTTTCAGAAACACTAACGCTTGTAATGCTGTTAGGACAGCGATGGCTAAAAGGTGGCAAAGTCTTGCCCTCATCATTGATATTGGAGACAGATACAACATATTTATTCAATGTTTGGGCTTTGTCAATGTCTGTAAATGCTGAAGATTGAGGTGTGAAACATGTACATAAATCTACTGGATAGCATTGGGAATGTTATAAGGTTAAAATGCATCTTTATACAAGAAACGCATAACAAATTTTAGAATTGTGGTTATTTCGTGATAGAATTGATGCTACCACTGCCTGGTAACAAATCAAGGGATGTAGAACATAATAACTGGAAGTAACAGAATGCAAAAGACTCAAAAGTATAAGTTGATGGTGAATCACTGACGAGTAGTTGACAGTCATTCTCCCATCACGAGGTACGACATGAGACCATGGAATGATGTAACTTTAAACGATCAGAAAGATTGTATCTGGCATATGACAAGGGTGGAGCAGGCTCGAACACCTTAAAAAGATACCGTCAGCACCAGAAAGTGTGCGGGTTACAAAGTCAGCAGAACGTTCGCATCGCGATTGTGCAGTTCCACATCTGGTAAAATGCTTGCCCTGTCCAGTCTAAGTCACCTTGTAATGAAGAGAGGAATGACTTAACCAGGCCATTGGTTAAACATTAGAAAAAAAATGAATAAAATATCTCGTGCACTGAGATTAATTCTTAAATGCATTCTGATCTATCTATCTATCTATCTATCTATCTATCTATCTATCTATCTATCTATCTATCTATCTATCTATCTATCTATCTATCTATCTATATATATATATATATATATATATATTCGATCCACTTAATATGAAGACACAATTATGTAGTTTGATTTTACTTTTTTTAATTTCCATTTCATACATTTATGCATATGCAAGGCAGACATAAAATATGGAAAATTTACATTTCAATAATCACTAATTCAGTCATGTTATGCAGGTCATGGGTGACTATTGAGGGGGAAACAACTATTGCGATAGCGATAGCCTATTGCAGCCAACTATTGCAATATAATTACCAAAAGTTTTTCTCCTTGAATTGTCTCATTTGAAGCCCTTTCCCAAATGAAGGTATAGTTTATATGAAATAACAACGAGTTGAAGTAGTTTCAGTCTCTTTTAATAACTGACAAGAAACTGGAACCCTGATCAAGTAAACAGTTAAAACATAAACTTATTGTTATTCACAATTTCAAACTCCGAGTCTCATGCCATGTTTACCACCATGTTTGTTTAGGGGTAACAGGGGCGGATAAGTCTAAATCAAAGTGAACGAATCTGGTATTTCCTGTATTTTGCGCTGCGCATTTATCAAGGGAAGTCAATTACTAAACTATCGAGAGCCACCCATATTATCGATGCATCGATAGTTTTTCGTTTCTATCATCGATTAATTGCTATCGGAGACTCAACAATTGCAATCCATCGATAGTTCGATGCATCCTTAATCTGTAAATGTTGTAACAGATTACGTCATTTATACTCTAAATAATTCACACTGACACTATATATAATTAAAGTGATTGCTGACAGCAATTGATTTTACTTCATTCCCCACATTTGCTTGAGTAGATTGTGTTCAGATACAAAATAGATTATTTTCTAGAGAATATTCCTGGGTCTGAGATGTTTCCATTTGACATCCCCTGATACAGAGGGATGCAGTTCGTGCGGAAAGGTAATTCTACGAAAGGGAGGCCTTGTGGCAGTGTGAAGTTGTGGTACCGAATGGACATAACACTACGGCAGCCATGTTTGTGTTATTACCTTGAACCTACTCACAGACAAGAAGTAAAGAAAAGCATACCTAGTGTACAGTACTTTTATTATAACATAATGAAGAAAGTCTAGGATGGTGAGTTAGTTTAGTTTTACGCCGCACTCTGCAAAATTCCAGGTATATGGCGGCGGTCTGTAATTAATTGAGTCTGGACAAGACAATCCAGTGATCAACAGCATGAACATCCATCTACGCAATCGGGATACGATGACATGTGTCAACCAGGTTAACCAGCCTGACCACCCGATCCCATTAGTCTCCTCTTACGACAAGCATGGGTTGCTGAAGACCAATTCTAACCTGAATCTTCACGGGTCCCCAAGGTGATGAAGGTTAAAGCTACAGGCCTACAGAACAAACCTCGTCAGGTGAGGTGAGGTGAAACTGGGTTTAACGTCGTGCTTGAGAATATTTTGCTCATATGACGACGTGCATGCGTGTGTATGTGTATGTGCGGCTGCTTGTACTAGCCCAGACTGAAGCTGGTTTTATAGTGCTCGCCCACTGAGATACCATGCCGCAGTGAAGCATGAATACCCCACTCAGACACATTATACTGACTCCGAGCCGACCAATCCTTGTTGTACCCATTAATGCCGAGCGCCAGGCAGGGACCAACAAGTACCATATTTTAACGTCTTTTGGTATGACGCGGTGGGGGATCAAACCCGCGACCTTCCGCTCTCCGGGCGGACGCTCTAACCACTACACTACGGAGGCGGTCACCTCGTCAGGTACCGTGCTGACATGCATGAAAACATTTCTGAAATCCGTTAAGGGATGCACGGCGAATTGCGTGCGGCGCCTTTTGTGTCACCGTTTAATTGAATCCCAAAAAATCTATCCATTTGACAAGAAGATTTGTTTTCAGTGTTAGTGACAACCGCTGCCCCCGCCACATTTTTCACCATGGAGACGGATACAATGTCATACATCACCAAATTCGGGGCAAGGAAAAGTAGGCACCGATGTTTGATGATGGTTAACTAGAACAAACAAGAACTTGTTATTCGATGATGATGATGATGATGATGATGATGATGATGATGATGATGATGATGATGAAGATGATGATGATGTATTTCTTGTGAATGTTTGTAATATTTTGATCACATCTTGTGTAAGCATCCAGGCAGTTTACACACTGCAGGAAAGGGCAGCGTTTCCTTCCCAGGTCTAAAACGACGAATCCGGTTACAAAAATAATGTCGTCAAAAACCATACCATCGTCATTGACAAATATTCTTAAAATGTCATCAGTCCAACGATATAAAGGAAATACCCTTTGAAATAAGAACACGACTTTCGACACAGTGTTTCATTGATTACTAAAAATAGTTTCTGTAATTTCTTTGTTTTTATGAGAAAAACGTTTTAACCGTTCCAAGTATTGCTTTGCGACATACAATACAATCAGTACAGTTGAATGCGCACCCAGAACACGTGACCAGATGACCACAGGGCAAGAACAGTACACCTACAGTCTCGTTCCGACACACCCTGCACGTGTTTTTTTCACGGAGATGTTTGTTTTCGACAACTAATCGCCGAGAGGCAGGTCTGGCAGGGCAACCTTGTCCGGGCAGTTCTCCCTGTGTATCTGTGGAGCAAGAACCAGTCCCAGCCCCAGCCAAACCTTCATTTGCAGTACCCGTTGGCGTGGTTCTTCGTGGCAAATATGCTGCTGTAGATGCCGAAGAATCCGCTTCAAATATCTGACACGTTGAAAGATTCAAACCTCCAATGATTTGGCTGACGCTTGCATCAATCGAAGAATATGTGTTTTGTATTCCACAAGCCTCATCTGAATTGTTGGTTTCTAAACAGCTGTCACTGGTATCGTGAATGTTATCAGTTGCATTCTGTCTGACAGCGTCATTCGTCAGGGAAACTCCAGATTGTTCGCTAGTCTTTCCTTCTTCCGTTCTCGTAGCAACTCCAAGCTGGTTCAGGTCTATCTTGATGATGAACTGACAGTGTTCCGAGTACTTCTGATGTTCCGCCACAGGGTCATGTTCTTCCTCCCAGTCTCTCAGAGTTATCCCACACTGGAAACACGTGACCCGGTCAGCTGACCCGATGTAGAAGAAGCCCGCTGATGCCAGTTCCTCAGGAGTTTTGGGGACATATCTTCTCGGCCAATCAACGAAGGAGTCTAGCCGTGCCTGTTGAGATTGGTACTTGGGATGTTTCGGAGGCGGAGTCTGTCCCAGCTTCCGGTACAAGGAGACGATGAAGGGGCAGTGAGTCCTCCTGGTGGCATGTTCGTGTAGAGCGTCATCTGTGTCCGTCCAGTTGAGGAGCTTCAGACCACAGTGTTCACACTCCACCTTGTCTCCGATACCTAGGAAGTAAACAAAAGTTGTTTCAGAACAGTGGAATAATCGGAAATAAAAGCGACAAGAGCCTTTCCATATTTGGCAGGAGAGTCGATATACTATGAGCATGTGTATTACTCTCACTTTGCTCTCTCCAAAAGGGGCGGTGGGGTAGCCTAGTGGTTAAAGCGTTCGCTCGTCACGCCCAAGACCCGGGTTCGAATCCCCACATGGGCACACTGTGTGAAGCCCATTTCCCCCGCGCCGTGATATTGCTGGAATATTGCTAAAAGCGGCGTAAAACTAAACTCACTCACACTCACTCTCTCCAAAGGTCTGCGTATCCTGTTCCCCTGGCAACACATCCTAATCCAATGAGTTTACACTGTTCATAGTCATATACTTAGTGCCAATCCAACAAAGGTATATATCTTTTAGTATTGAAATTTCTAACATTAAAATAAATTATCATACGTTATACTTATACCGCGCGGCGGTGGGGTAGCCTAGTGGTTAAAGACTTCGCTCGTCAAACCGAAGACCTGAGTTCAATTTACCACATGGGTACAATGTGTGAATCCCGTTTCTGGTGTCCCCCGCGTGATATAATATTGCTGGAATATTTTAAAAGCGGCGTAAATCTACACTCACTCACTATAATGATATTGCCGTGTCTGTGGTCTCAGTGGTACTCATAGTCCAGCATTATTACCCAGTCAGTGGTCAGTATTGCCTGTAGTATAGGCATAGTATCAGGCAGTATGAACCAGAATATAAAGCTTTTACTGAATCGTTTAGGGATTGCCTCTCATTTAAAGCCAACACGTCGTCCTATAAAAAGGGATACTCCCGCTGGTAAGCTTTATGTATTAAGCGTTTAGACTACATACACGTCCCTCGTCTATAACCAGTCGTTGTCGGTATACGCATGCCTTTATTGCCAAGTTTACTCGCTAAGCGTTTTGTACTAATCGTTCAGAGCGAAGATAGAAGTAAACATTATTCTATGATAACAGTATCTTCGAGAGAGGTAAATTTAGTCATTTCTGCATACTCGTGTTGTTCAAAGCTGGGAGGTTATCTCAAGATTCAGATAGTCAGCACTGCTGATTAGCAACATTGTAAGTATTGTTTATATGGATACATGAACGTCTCATAACCTCTGGGGGCGGTGGGGTAGCCTAGTGGTTAAAGCCTTCGCTCGTCACGCCGAAGACCCAGGTTCGATTCCCCACATGGGCAAACTGTTTGAAGCCCATTTCTGGTGTCCTCCGCCGTGATGTTGCTGGAATATTGCTAAAAGCGGCGTAAAATCAAACTCACTCACTCACTCATAACCTCTGAGAACCTCGGTGTATAAATAACGGCCCATATTCGGGGTACTTCATTGTTGAGATACACCGAATATAGACCGGCCAGTAATAGGAACGAACTTCTCTTGGTTCGTTTAAGGTGTGCGGCCTTAAGCTAATTGCCCGATAACGAATTCTAGGTATTGCAATTAACCTAGACTGAACATAGGTATTAAAAGTTTATTATCGGTGGCAAGGTGTATCATACAAGCTTAAAAGAAATGTACTTAAGATGGAGACAACTATTGACCAGATTGACAGACACGTCATATTCTCATGGCGTTAACACTTGTTCCCGGTAGTCACGAATAATTGACGGGTATTCGGCGTGTGAACAGTTTTACCCGGTAGTCACGAAGCCTTGCGGGTCCACCCAACAACCTCTGGTCATTCGAGTAACGCCCTATTGTCACATTCCATCTTAAAGAATGCTCAGAAAGCTTGTACATGTATACTGTAAGTCACTGGATATTGTCTGGTACAAACCCGATTAGGTACAGACCGCCGCCATATAGTTGGACTGCCGTGTGCGGCAAGAACAACAAAGAAAAACAATAACCTTGTGCATTGATTACAAACAGAAGAGGCGCGGTCTATTACAAGGAAGAGGAACGGAGTATTATACACAGGAAGATACTTTTGTATTTGTCTCAGGTGTTGAATTGCTATATTGCATTCTGACACACTATAGGTCTTATACGACCATGGGAAGCCCATTTCTGCTGTCCCCCGCCGTGATATTGCTGGAATATTGGTAAAAACGGCATAAAACTAAACTCACTCACTCACGACCACACGTGCAGCCTTGAAGTCTCCAGCGATGATAGCTGAGGAGAGTAGATGCCCTGCTTCCATCCAGTGTGAGCCTTGAAGTCTCCACCAGTATTCCATGAAATGGGCTTCACACATTAGATTATTATTATTATGCTAGCATTTGTATAGCGCCGATATCCAGCTCAGCTCAGCTGCTCAAAGGCGCTTTGTTTTTCCCTCGTTCACTGGATGTCAATCTCCACGGCACATCGTATTGTCAATCTCAACTGCCTGGGGAGCATACACATTGTACCTATGTGGGGAATCGATCCCTGGCCATCGGCGGGACGAGCGAACGCTTTAACCTCTAGGCTACCCCACCGCCCCTCCATAGATCAGACTATCATCGGTAACTTGGTTGATGCAATATAATCGAATCCCAATGGTTTTGGTTGTTGCTCACGCTTTCAGAAACGGTTTGCTTGGTCCAGATTCAATCATTTAAAATAGCTGCTTAACTCGGCGTTGTACGCCACTCAATTAGGAGTGGCGCCAGCCATGATACGTTCTAAACTTCAGAGTACACTGTAGTGACTGAATTCACAAGTCAGAACCCATGAAGGTCCGGGTTAGAATGAACCTTCAGTAGCCCATGCTTGTCGTAAGAGGCGACTAATTTGATCGCATGGTCAGGCTCGCTGGCTAGGTTGACACATGTCATCGGTTCCCAATTGCGCAGATCGATGCTCATGCTGTTGATCACTGGATTGTCTGGTCCAGACTCGATTGTTTACAGACCGCCGCCATATAGCTGGAATATTGCTCAGTGCGCCATTAAACTAAATTCACTCACTCACAAGTCAGATGTATGTATCTGCCTGTTTATATTGTAATGTACATTCATCGATGTGTTATGTAATGACTAGTCAGTGGAAGTTACGGAAATATATACATGTACATATATAACGTGCCCGTTGTTTAATACAATATTGTGTGAATGTACAATTTTGGATCTTTTCTAAAGTGTTATTATCAAATTTAAAACAACCCGATTTTATGAAAATGTTTTGGGTCTTTATGCTGATTTTTACATGTGTTTTCTTACCAAAACGATGATCAGGCTTATTGCTTAGGGAAAGACAGATTTACACCTGTCATGGCCATTTAACATTTTGGTGGTAATGCGGCATGCATATATATGGTGCCGAGAGACCATGGTTCATGATCAGAAAGAAATTAGGCTTCGAACACACAACACAGGGACACAACTGAAATGCGTTAGACAGGCATGTCACCATTGCCTTACAGATTGATAACGGAGTCAATTTGACATCAAACCTCTGAAAGTAAATGCCAAGTAAGTGTGCGACTTGGGTTTTCACCAAGAACGGGATTGACACGTTGTGCCATTTTGAGAACTGAACCTTATGTGTGACGAGCCAGCGCTTCACCACTGGGCTACCCGATCGGCTCCATAAAGGTAATCACAACTTTTAACAGATGAACATTTCATTCACATACCAGTAAATGTGAAACCTGCTCTGGCCAGTACTGCCTTGTCCTTCTTCCCTGTCCATCTCTGTCCGTCTTGTCCGTAGGTCTGAAGTCGGTGCTGGACATTCTCTCCGATCTCAGTTGACCACAAGAACGAGTCATCAACGTCTGAGAGACGTTTTGTACCAGCGGACATCTAATACACGCCGTGTGTCTGTGTCAACCGATATTAAGTCATGTTAGTTTACTTATACTACTCACACTTTGCTAAGGATCCCAAAAATTCACAACTTTACTTAAAAGTAGATTTATAATTTGAAACTGTATCCACTTATAACTGGATAAATAACAATATGGCAACACCTCAAACAGCCTTATGCACTTGATACATGAGTAACCATAAAAATGGTTTTCATGGCACCAATCAACCATTTTGCAGATCATGGAACGAGTCATTGACAAATAAACAACACATGTCAATAGCAGGTATGGGATCCACAAAGATGCAATGACATACTGAAACCTAGGATCCATGCTGACAATAAGCTTAGATATTTAAACCAAATTTGACCCCACATAATAGTTTTCTGTTGAATCCAGGATGTGATCCTTAGCAAAGTGTGAATAGTATATTTATATCTACGTCATCTACTCTCAACGGGGTAGAGTGAGTGAGTGAGTCTGCGGGGGCTAGAAATGGGCTTCACATATAGTACCCATGGGGGGAATCGAACCCGGGTCTTCGGTGTTACGAGCGAACGCTTTAACCACTAGGCTACCCCACCGCCCCGCTACTGGAATAACATCGTCAGTTAATCAAACGTTTTAGTCACTATTCTTTCTTTCCAAATAACGATTTAATAACGGTAGTAATCGAATATCAAACATGTCATAACAATCCAAATATGTTAAAAGAAAATGACAGTATTACCTATACGTGATCACCTTTCACAGTACTTACAGTATGTTGATTGAGAGGAACGTATTCTACGACCCTTGTGAACACGCAGAGACCGAATGGAGACTCCCTCCCCAGCTGACAGCTGTCATGAGTTTTGTATGTCACGTGACATTAGGCTTTTCCTTGAGATATATATTTATATATAGTCCACCCGAACAGGCCACCTTATTGGGACATACAGAGGTGTCAGTGTGAGTAAACGCGGAACATGATACGCTATAGCTATTATTTGCCTTATATAGGCTTATATAACTGCACGCTCTATTTATGAACCTTTGTTAGGGACATTTCAGCTATATACGATCTTCATTTCAAATTCTCCCCGACGCTTTATCGTCATTTACACATACTTTTCAATACTATTAGGCTGGTGGACTTCCATCGTTGGTGTATCAGTTTGATATGAGATACCTACATTTTGGCTCTGTAATCATATCACAGTGAGCAATAACTAGACGACAGATGGGAATTAACAAACAACTGAGATTTTGTTTGGCCGTAATGCATTTTACTGAGTCACACAACTTCCTGATGCATCTATTGGTATACATAGCATTGCCATTGTTTAGTGAATGAAAAGGTCATTTTTACCCGGAAAAAATGACAAACAGTTGAACACACACTTGATAACATATATTTTATATCTAAGTTTGATTCGCTGGGAAAGTGTTAAGATATCATGAAAAAAAAGTTTTGACTGTTCCAAATATGGTTTTGCTACAGACGATACAATCTGCTATCGTAGGCGCGCACCTTGAGCAGGTGACCAAATGACCACAGGGCAGAAAGAGTACACAAACAGCTTCGTTCCGACACACCCTGCACGTACTTTTTTCACGGAGACGTTTGTTTTCGACAACCAGCCGTTGTGAGCTCTGTTGCCCTGGCTCAGATCCCAGTGTATCTATGGAATCAGAAACTGGGGGAGGTTCGGCCTCACCCTTGGATGCACATTCCAGGGGCGCTGATTGAAGGTTAGATGTTGTAGAGGAACCCTCTTCTATAGAATGACAAGACACATGACTGCTGACCATTAGGCTGACTTGACCTTGGGCTGACTTGACCATGGAGGATGATTGTATTGGGCAAGCGTCCGATGAGCTATTGGCTACTGGAACACTATGACCACCAGTATGGGAGGTACTTTGGTCATCCATCGACATGGGATCCGTCCTCACTCCAACTTGGTCATTTGCCGCCGTGGAACCCGTCCTCGTAGCAACTCCAAGCTGGTTCAGGTCTGTCTTGTTGATGAACTGACAGTGTTCCGAGTACTTCTGATGTTCCGCCACAGGATCATGTTCTTCCTCCCAGTCTCTCAGAGTTATCCCACACTGGAAACACGTGACCCGGTCAGCTGACCCGATGTAGAAGAAGCCCGCTGATGCCAGTTCCTCGGGAGTTTTGGGCACATATCTTCTCGGCCAGTCAACGAAGGTGTCTAGCCGTGCCTGTAGAGATTGGTACTTGGGATGTTTTGGAGGCGGAGTCTGTCCCAGCTTCCAGTACAAGGAGACGATGAAGGGGCAGTGAGTCCTCCTGGTGGCATGTTCGTGTAGAGCGTCATCTGTGTCCGTCCAGTTGAGGAGCTTCAGACCACAGCGTTCACACTCCACCTTGTCTCCGATACCTAGGAAGTAAACAAAACTCGTTTCAGAACAGTGAAATAAAAGCGACAGTGGCCTTTCCATATTTGGCTGAAGGAGAGTCGAGCATATACTGTGAGCATGGGAATCACTGTCACTTTGCTTTCTCCTTAAGGTCTGCGGATCCTACACTCCACCTTGTCTCCGATACCTGTGGATGACATGAATGTGAATATGCTATGAAAATGCAAGTATAGTGCTTCCCATCCTTCTCTTTCTGAAAGTGGGAGACCGACGCCATATAGCTGGAATATTTAGGAGTGTGGCGTAAAACAAAACCCTCTCACTCACTCACTCTGAAACTGGGACATAAACTTTAGCGTATCCCAGCTATACATTAATCTGTGTAAACCTTAATCCCCTTATTGGAAGCACATATAGAACCCACTCAAATTAATTCCGTACATCATTGCAAATTGTCCCCCTGTGAAAGTGAAAACGAGTGGCAAGCTGTACACATCCAGGTGCGTTTGGTTTAAAGACGTACTCAAATATATGAAACTAAAATCAGCGTTCTTCATCATCCTTTGGTCAGTTATTGCGGTAACGATTTAAAAATGTTGAATAAATCAATTACACATCGACATATGATGTGTAAGACGGGGTTTTCAATGTACATCAGGTATCGTTTGGTGTTTGTAAAAATATATACCATGTTACGAGCTGTGTGTTACAATTAGGAGATAAACACACTGTGTTGGAAAATCAGAGGTATATAACGAAATTATAATAGCTCTAAATTTTTAATTATAACCGAACTTCGTTTTATACCTCTGATTTTTCAACACAGTATGTGTATCTCCATTCTACCATAACCACGTTATTAAGATTTATAAAAGATACATACTGTGTTGGGAAATCAGAGGTATATAACGTGATTATATACCCCTGAATAACTTTGATTTTGCAATCACAAATCAGTATTTACTAAAGTCGTGGTAGAATAATGCTTGTAAAGAATACTTGAGTGAGTGGTTTGTGTTCAGTGCAGCTGTTACTTTATTGTGGAACGGGAACCCGATGTTTATCGTTTTGGTAAAACCTACGAGTATGGTGCTGACAAACATACACACAGCTGGGGTAACTGGGATTCGAACATCAATGACAGGTTGACTCCTCAGACCACTGGGCCACCTTGCTCCTGAATACAAACTGACGTCCGAAAGATAGTACACTCATGGTATCCTGGGAATATTTTCCAGAAGATAGCGTAACTATTTTGCAATATAAGTGTTTCAAACATTGTGTACTTTCTTTTAAACGTCAGTTTACTCAACGTTTGAGAGCGATACCCAGATAGGGAAACATACAATACCAATCGATTTGAAATTACAAGAGATTACTTTTGTGAATCACTGTGTACATTTAGGATGTAATTTACATCAGGATTGATGTCTTAAATCATATTGCAATTCTTTCCCATGAATTTAATTGAAGTGAGTGAGTATGTGTTTTACGCAGCTTTTAGCAATATTCCAGCAATATCTCTGCGGGGGCCAGAAATGGGCTTCACACATAGTACCCATGTGGGGAATCGAACCCGGGTCTTCGGTGAGACGAGCGGACGCTTTAACCATTAGGCTACCCCAGCGTGAGTAATACGGTAACATAGCAGTGCAAACAATAAGGGTTATGCTCATGGGTCATCTTGCGATCAGCTGGTTGGTACCTTTCATCGCATGACTTGTACACCGCGGTCAATAACGTGCGGCAACGCCTGTATGACACACAAGTCTTATAGAGATAATCCATTGTAATACCGCCTTTGCGTAACTTCACAGCAGATCAAAACATATTTACGTCATACGGTTTGGTAATCCATCCGTAACACCAGTGTAGAAATGCTATCTACAGCTATATGTTTTATATATAACATGAGACACAAAAATAAATATATTTTCTTCTTCTTCTTCTTCTTCTTCTCTATAAAAACCGTTCAGTCATTGCGTGACACGTGATGCCGACCACATGTTTTGTTGTCACTACCCACGTGTTTGTGTCGCAATGAACACGCGGGGTTGGATTGTCATATGGTATTGTGTTTTGTCATATGACATAGTGATCATAAGGTCATTTAAAGCAGACTATGTACTAGAAAACATTTCTCTTGTCTATAGGCCTACACACCGCGCCTAACAGCGACAGGTCGTTTGTTGAAACGTTGTAGTTTAACGCCGCACTTGGTAAAAAGCTTTAGCGGTAAGTTGACTTTCACAGAACCTAAACAGGAGCAAAGTATAGTTTGGAGCACACATGGCAGTTTGGTTCCACATTCAGGTAAATGATAAACACTGAAAAAGACGCAGTAAGAAAATTCCTTGTATGCTTATTTCTCGGAGAGGACCGCCTGCGTGGTGTATTGGTTGGAGCGTCCGCCCGGAGAGCGGAAGGTCGCGGGTTCGATCCCCGGCCGCGTCATACCAAAAGACGTTAAAATGTGGTACTTGTTGGTCCCTGACTGGCGCTCGGCATTAATGGGTACAACAAGGACTGGTCGGCTCGGAGTCAGTATGCTGTGTCAGAGTGGGGTATTATTCATGCTTAACTGCGGCATGGTATCTCAGTGAACTAGCACTATAAAACCAGCTTCAGTCTGGGCTAGTATAAGCAGCCGGTCGCGTACCGATCCGTCGAATTTCTGATTTCAGAGTAGTAAAATGCATTCGACGGATGAACACTGTGATCTTAGCTATTAATTAGTTATCAAAACATTGGATCATACCAAGAAAAAGACGCAAGGGGTGTTGGATGGTTTGACTCTCTTTATTGTTGTACTTTTATATCTTTGCCTACTCACATGATGCAATGAGAAATTGATGATTAAATACAGGGTTTTTTTTCCTCTTTATTTTTGTACTTTTGTACAATATTGAAATTGATGCACTAAATAAAATGCCTTCATAAGGAGAAATATATACAAAAATATTATATCTACATCTGCATTCAACAAAATGAAACATTATTTCATCGACATATTTTCAGTTTGTAGGAATGTCACACACGATCACCATACTCCGAGCAAGTGTCCAACACAATCAATGATATTGTCTGTTTTCGACTGCTATGTTGGAAGTGTGTTGTGCTAAGCGTCTAAAGTATGGGGCTCTCATAAGGCTGAAAACATTGACAGATTACATTTGGATTATTGTAAGCGTGTTATTGGGTGTCAAAAATCGAACTTGGTCGTTATCCTTTGCGCTACAAATGGATGTTCTGCAATATTGTCAAGTACTGGATTAAGCTGCTAGGAACTGATAACTATATTCTACGTGGGGGTTATGAATATCTACATGATGAGGTGGAAACAAATAATGTTCAGAACTGGGCCTTACAGGTTAAGAATATATTGACAACCCTTGGTTTTGGTGATATATGGTATAAGCAAGAATTGAATGTCTCTTATCTGCCTGTCATTAAACAAAGACTTATTGGTAATGTTTTCCAGTATATTGGAAGTCAGTTGTCCAGTTTTACTAAGTGTAGATTGTATAAATATATTATTGATTTTTACTTTGCAATATTATCTTCAAAAATCAATTCCTGCAATTTATACAAAATATTTGTCTAAATTTCGACGATATTTTCATGTTTCTGTACAGCTAAAGGTAAATAAAGAATTGAACTGAATTGAGTTAAAACTATTTAAGAAAACATGTAGTCTAATCCAATACAAGCCGATCCCTTAATCAATGAACTTGGACTCTCCCAGTGTGTTAACACGGTCTGAAATTCGACCGATTAGCACAGAACCACTCAAGCATGATTCGACGGATCGGCACTGCTGACTGTTCAAAATTCGACGGATTAGGCCGTAATCAAGCTGCCGCACATACACATACACACGTATGCACGTCGTCATATGGGCCAAATATTCTCAATTACGACGTTAAACCCCTTTTCATCTCACTTATTTCTCGGAGAATAGTTTTGTGTACCCCATGTTTCGGGAAAGTGAATTCCCCAAGGGATAAGTTATAGTCTTCGATTATATACTAGCCACATAAAGAAACTGTGCATTGTCAAAATATTATCCCAGTTGATAAGTACGATAACAATGTGAAAGGTACATATAAACTTTAATGTAGGGATCATGAGACCATAACAAGTCGGGAGAATTTCAATTGAAAAGTCAATCACAATGACGTCATGAGTCCACAAGCGGGACAGGGGTCAAACGACCATGTCACAAGCTCAATAACGGGTATATCCACCATTGAGAACAGCAGTGCATCGACGACGAGTGATCTGGTGAATTTGCAGGCCAAGGCAGTAAGTCAACGTTGTGGTGTTGCAAGAAATCCAGAGCAACCCTTGCCGTATGAGGGCGGGCATTGTCCTGTTGGAATGTTAACCCAGGGCCATGACGTTGCAGAAAAGGAATTGCCACAGGTCGAAGAATCTGATCCCTGTAGCCCACACCAGTTAAGTTGCCCTGAACAATCACCAAAGGAGTTCTTTGGCGTGCTGTTAATCCTCCCCAAATCATCACGGAACCACCACCACCAAAGCGATTCCTCTCCAAGACACGGGCCTGTGCATAACGTTCTCTCACGCATCTATAGGCACGTTGACGTCCATCACTATGGGAAATGTTAAACCTGGACTCATCTGTAAAAACAACATTTCTCCACCAAAGCAAGGGTCTGCGGACATGATTTCGGCAGCACATTCGGCGAGCTTGTCGATGACGTTGGTCAGGATAGGCCGTATGGCGGGACGTCGTGGTCTGATCCCGTGATGACGTAAACGTTGTCGAACTGTGTTCGGGTGGATACGGCAAAGTCCTGGGATGGTTCGGGCAGTCATCACTGCAGTCTGAAACCTGTGGCGAAGATGGGTCACCCTTATCCATCTGTCCTGTCTTGGCGTTGTTACACGTGGACGTCCAGAACGTGGCCGATCGATGACCTCACCAGTGCAGAAATGGTGTTCCGGTGGCAGTGGAAATGTGCAGCCACTTGTCGTTGAGACATTCCCCCACGGACCACCCCAATGGCCTCATGACGTTGTGCAGACGTGAGTCTTTGCATGCTATGCGTTTCAATAGCCGTTTAATTTTTTGAACGATCGCAAGGGCAGGAGTTGAGCTTTCCAAAGTGACAGTATTGTGTGGCATTCATTTGCTCTGTTTCTCTTTCCCAGAATGCACGTGCAACAACGTATTGCACGTCTCAAGGACGAACCCACTGACGTCACGGAACGTGGCACGTGCATGCATGTTGGATACATGTCACTAATCTCTGAGTTTAAATCCTTATGTGTCTACACAGGTTTGATAAATTTAGATTTTAAAGCCACAATACCTGTGTATACGAACCCCGCCCTAGCCAGGGTCTCTTTAGCCTTCCGCCCTGCCCATCTGTGGTCGAACGTCTCCTCCCTGTGTGAGGCTCCGTCCGTGACATCGCTGACCCCGCCTGCTGCTGCTATAGTCAGGTCCGACAGACCACGCCCGGATGACATTCACTGTAGTATCACTGTTAAATCATATCGAACAACTTCAAATATTCTTTCTGGCATAAATTATTTAATACAAAAGTATCATTTTATTAATTATTTTTGATGATTCATTCAAACAGGACAAATTCATGACCAGATGCTATTTTCAACTGCCAGTGATAAGGATTCACACATTT